TGAACTCATATACCAATTTCATTAAATCACACAAGGAAATGAGAGTACTGTATAAGGAGCCAGTGACCAGACAGTCAAAGATTTCATATCAGCCACTTTCAAAATGTCTCCCCCTGGTGGTACACATGGTATGCGTATGGGCTGATTTGTCAGAGAATAACATACCAGTTGTACAGTGAGGGAAAAAAGTATTTGATCCCCTGCTGATTTTGTACGTTTGCCCACTGACAAAGACATGATCAGTCTATAATTGTAATGGTAGGTTTATTTGAACAGTGAGAGACAGAATAACAACAAAAAATTCCAGAAAAACGCATGTCAGAAATGTTATAAATTGATTTGCATTTTAATGAGGGAAATAAGTATTTGACCCCTCTGCAAAACATGACTTAGTACTTGGTGGCAAAACCCTTGTTGGCAATCACAGAGGTCAGACGTTTCTTGTAGTTGGCCACCAGGTTTGCACACAACTCAGGAGGGATTTTGTTCCACTCCTCTTTGCAGATCTTCTCCAAGTCATTAAGGTTTCGAGGCTGACGTTTGGCAACTCGAACCTTCAGCTCCCTCCACAGATTTTCTATGGGATTAAGGTTTGGAGACTGGCTAGGCCACTCCAGGACCTTAATGTGCTTCTTCTTGAGACACTCCTTTTTTGCCTTGGCCGTGTGTTTTGGGTCATTGTCATGCTGGAATACCCATCCACGACCCATTTTCAATGCCCTGACTGAGGGAAGGAGGTTCTCACCCAAGATTTGACGGTACATGGCCCCGTCCATCGTCCCTTTGATGCGGTGAAGTTGTCCTGTCCCCTTAGCAGAAAAACACCCCCAAAGCATAATGTTTCCACCTCCATGTTTGACGGTGGGGATGGTGTTCTTGGGGTCATAGGCAGCATTCCTCCTCCTCCAAACACGGCGAGTTGAGTTGATGCCAAAGAACTCGATTTTGGTCTCATCTGACCACAACACTTTCACCCAGTTCTCCTCTGAATCATTCAGATGTTCATTGGCAAACTTCAGACAGGCCTGTATATGTGCTTACTTGAGCAGGGGGACCTTGCGGGCGCTGCAGGATTTCAGTCCTTCACGGCGTAATGTGTTACCAATTGTTTTCTTGGTGACTATGGTCCCAGCTGCCTTGAGATCATTGACAAGATCCTCCTGTGTAGTTCTGGGCTGATTCCTCACCGTTCTCATGATTATTTCAACTCCACGAGGTGAGATCTTGTATGGAGTCCTAGGTCGAGGGAGATTGACAGTTATTTTGTGTTTCTTCCATTTGCGAATAATCGCACCAACAGTTGTCACCTTCTCACCAAGCTGCTTGGTGATGGTCTTGTAGCCCATTCCAGCCTTGTGTAGGTCCACAATCTTGTCCCTGACATCCTTGGAGAGCTCTTTGGTCTTGGCCATGGTGGAGAGTTTGGAATCTGATTGATTGATTGCTTCTGTGGACAGGTGTCTTTTATACAGGTAACAAGCTGAGATTAGGAGCACTCCCTTTAAGAGTGTGCTCCTAATCTCAGCTCGTTACCTGTATAAAAGACACCTGGGAGCCAGAAATCTTTCTGATTGAGAGGGGGTCAAATACTTATTTCCCTCATTAAAATGCTAATCAATTTATAACATTTTTGACATGCGTTTTTCTGGATTTTGTTGTTGTTATTCTGTCACTCACTGTTCAAATAAACCTACCATTAAAATTATAGACTGATCATTTCTTTGTCAGTGGGCAAACGTACAAAATCAGCAGGGGATTAAATACTTTTTTACCTCACTGTATATGACATCAGTATAAAACAAACATGTTGTTAAAATATATGACTTTAAACATTGATCTTTATTGAAATAGAAACAAATGAATCCATTAAGCTATTAAATAAATGAGTAATAGATAGAGAGCAGAGCAGAGCTGGCTGATCCTGATATACTGTATAATGGCACATGCAGACTGGTTATTCTCTAAAGAAAATGTGATTAATGATTGATTGAGAGAGGTGTTTGTTGCGCTTTACAACCAAGTTTGACAGAACAATGATACAATACGTATATATAACATTACAGCACTCACTGTAGTGTGGAATATGTAACTTCATCACAAGGAAAACAACAGAGAGAGACAGGGGACATTCCACCTGACTACTGTATCAAACCTACTCAACACCTGCAAGAGTTGGCAGACAGTCCCCAAAAGCAGCTACAGGGATGTTTAGAAACTGACTAGAAAATACTATTCCACTCATACCTGACAACACTGTAGTCTGAGATTATGAAAGGTTCAGTCAGGCTTTTAAATCTTATTTGACTCATTTGGTAAGAGTCAATGGGATTCATAAGCCTAAGATTGACACATTACACTTATGGTTCATGTATCCATTGATCGTTTCACAATCAATAGTGTATAAGTAAGTACCATAATTCAAATACAGTAGAGCCATGTTTAATTTCAACACACAGACACACTAACAATCCTTACAGTACATCCACTGTACATAATTGTGTTTTCTCCATACTGGAGCAGATGAACAGACACACACCATATACACACCATATACACACCATGTACACACCATATACACACCATGCACACACCATGTACACACCATGTTCACACTTAAATCATTGCAGGGCTGCTAAACACTATGCAGACACAGAACAGGAGAGAAAGTGCTTCAAGTAGTTGGAGGAAACGTCCTTGTACCATGTTAGACCTTAAATACATATGTTGTTGTAATGTAACATACACAGGATTATACAATTTACTTAAGATTTAGACTTTTAGATTTTTCAGAGATTGTAATTTGTATTACAAAGGTTAGTCCCTTAAAATCATATTTATAAAACAAATGAGTATCTTACAAATAAATTGTTTGCATGTCAATTGATTAATGGCTATAGGAAGAAATTGTACTTATCAGCTGAAAGTGCTATAACTAACCACCTACTTTGCAGGGATGTTAGAGAGGCATTGATACCACATTATGTGCTTATCATGGCACTAGACTAAACTTTAGTTCGGGACCAAACTCAAAAACGAGCTTGTCCTGGAAATAACCATATTTACACACGTCATCCTTGATTCTCCACGTAATGAATTGACCCTGTGAGTTTTCTTTATATTTTTGGGTTATCTCTGATTACTTTCAGTAAATGTTCAGAAACAACACAACAACAAACCCAGGTAGAGAGCATCCTCTGCCACTAAGAACACTGGTCCTAGATCAGTGAGCCCTCAAATGATCAAAACATGACAATGCAGAGATATACAACCCCACTGATCCGGGACCAAGTTAACAATAACCTCTAAAACCTCTATAATAGACCCTCATACTGAGTAGACAGCTTATAGCCAGGATTCCCTTCCATTTTAGACATCAGAGCTGCTCCTCGAACCATGAAAAAGCTATTCTGATATGGTTCAGTGCACGTATCAAAGAGACACACCAATGTGATATGATAGCCTTGATACTGTTGCTGAGGATACACTCAAAGGTCCATATTATACCCTTTATTAAATAAAAATGATGACAAATATATCTCTCTGTATATATATCATACTGTATTGTAATGGTAGAGTCAACCTACTGTATACACACTGTATACACTGTACAGTTGGATATCAGTTGTATGGTTCCATCCTCTGATATATGTGAGGAGTGAAGCCGAGCGTCTAGAAGGACGGCACCTGGCCACCAGGGTGACAACAGCAGCATGGGTCACTGGGCGATGCCACAGTCACCACCGCTCTGTCCAATAGCTTTTAATGCCACATTTCCTCAGCTATTGCACAGAATCTTGCCATGACCTAATTACATGAATAACTTAACACAGTAGACTTACAATACCTACAAATATAAAATAACTGTCCAGCCCCCAACGATCTGTTGTGTCTTCTTCTCCCCTACTGTTGAAGAAATCTACGGGGTGTCTAGACTAAAGTGTAGCAGTTAGATTCTTGCTGTGATTCACAGAGTTCAAGTTTATAGGGTAGTGGGTTATGGGTCTGGTCTGGTCTGGTCCGGTCTGGTACAGGGGCAGGGCTGGAATGGGAGGTGGTGGCAGATTCAGAGAGCCAGCTTGACTTTCCATTTGTTTCGAATGCACTATCTTCTTCCAGCGAGGAGCAGAAACCTCCAGAATACTGAACTCCCCATCTCTAGACACTGTGGCCCACTCTTTCTGGAGGAAGAGATAGTGCATCCTCTACAAAATATGATCCATGAAAACACAGAGAAAATACAATACAGGTATAGATTTACAATATAAAAACTGAAGACGGTAGAAGCAGTCTAGTGACCACTGCTGGCTTTGCTACTCCCCGATGTCCAATCAATAAGGATAAAGCTCAGGCTCATTATCATAAACAGGAAGCCTATTCCAGCGAAGCAGGCAGCCTGCGAGAGAGAGGGAGAGGCAGAGGAGAGGGAGAGAGAGAGTGAGAAAGAGGGAGGGAGAAAGAGAGTGAGAAAGAGAGTGAGAAAGAGAGAGCGAGAGGAGAGAGAGTGAGGATGGATGAGAGAGAGGTAATGCACACAGTTGATGACTCTGTCACTGAGTTTCAGCCTTAATGCACTCAAAGCTATTCAACCATTATTATTGTAGTCTAGGGTTTGTGTATACATTTCTGAATTGTAATGACGATATTAGAGTGGCATTACTCACTCAGCAAATATATCGAAAGGATTCTGTATGGATGAGTCAATAAAATGAATCTGCATTGAATTTACTTAGCACTTCAAACATTGTTTCAGCAGATAATCTCCAGGAACTCTCTCTCTGTAGTTATTCTAATCTAACTGAAAGCTCACAGTCAAATTCCTATTATGTTACATTCTATTATGTGCACTTATGCTTAATTGTTTACATGCCCATACTAAACAGACCGAAAAGATACGTCATGTGTGTAAAAAAATACATTATCTTTAAAAACCAATAGTTAACAGTAATGTGCTGCGTTCCAGTAAGACATGACAGTAGTCTCTAGTGTTGTAGGGGGCGCTAGGGGACATCGCTCACCAGGATTTTGGGGGTGGAGCGCATGGGCTCCTCCTCTTCGGGTACGATGCGGATGTAGAAGACAGCAGGGAAGATGAAGATGAGGCAGGGGGCAGACGTGGCACCTGAGCGAGGAGAGGTCAAAGACACTCTTTAGCAACCGTGTCAAACAATGAGCTCCACAGAACTGTAGAATAACAAAAGTGCAATTTAACAGCGAGGAGGTAGCCTAGCGATGTCACGAAAGTCCCCCAAAAGCGTCCTTTGTCTCCCTGACTGTCAGAATGACACCAGCAGAAACCAAAGAGATTAAATTCAAAAGGCTTTATTGGCATGGAAAGTCTTAAACTTAGTGTTAAACACAACAGATTACTGTTCACTCAAAAATACTAATGAAACTGTGGGGACAATAAGATGCTAAAACTAAGGCATATGTACAATGGCTTGCAAAAGTATTCACCCCCCTTGGCATTTTTCCTATTTTGTTGCCTTACAACCTGGAATTAAAATGGATTTTTGGGGGGTTTGTATCATTTGATTTACACAACATACCTACCATTTTGAAGATGCTAAATATTTTTTCTTGTGAAACAAATACGTAATAAGACCCCCCCCCAAAGTCAATACTTTGTAGAGCCACCTTTGGCAGCAATTACAGCTGCAAGTCTCTTAGGGTATGTCTCTATAAGCTTGGCACATCTAGCCACTGGGATATTTGCCCATTCTTCAAGGCAAAACCGCTCCAGCTCCTTCAAGTTGGATGGGTTCCGCTGGTGTACAGCAATCTTTAAGTCATACCACAGATTCTCAATTGGATTGAGGTCTGGGCTTTGACTAGGCCATTCCAAGACATTTAAATGTTTCCCCTTAAACCACTCAAGTGTTGCTTTAGCAGTATGCTTAGGGTCATTGTCCTGCTGGAAGGTGAACCTCCATCCCAGTATCAAATGTCTGGAAAACTGAAACAGGTTTCCCTCAAGAATTTCCCTGTATTTAGTGCCATCCATCATTCCTTCAATTCTGACCAGTTTCCCAGTCTCTGCCGATGAAAAACATCCCCACAGCATGACGCTGCCACCACCATGCTTCACCGTGGGGGTGGTGTTCTCGAGGTGATGAGAGGTGTTGGGTTTGCGCCAGACATAGCGTTTTCCTTGATGGCCAAAAAGCTCAATTTTAGTCTGACCAGAGTACCTTCTTCCATATGTTTGGGGAGTCTCCCACATGGCTTTTGGCGAACACCAAACGTGTTTGCTTATTTATTTCTTTAAGCAATGGCTTTTTTTCTGGCCACTCTTCCGTAAAGCCCAGCTCTGTGGAGTGTATGGCTTAAAGTGGTTCTATGGACAGATACTCCAATCTCCGCTGTGGCGCTTTGCAGCTCCTTCAGGGTTATCTTTGGTCTCTTTGCTGCCTCTCTGATTAATGCCCTCCTTGCCTGGTCCGTGAGTTTTGGTGGGCGGACCCCTCTTGGCAGGTTTGTTGTGGTGCCATATTCTTTCCATTTAATAATAATGGATTTAATGGTGTTCCGTGGGATGTTCAAAGTTTTGGATATTTTTTTATAACCCAACACTGATCTGTACTTCTCCACAACTTTGTCCCTGACCTGTTTGGAGAGCTCCTTGGTCTTCATGGTGCCGCTTGCTTGGTGGTGCCCCTTGCTTAGTGGTGTTGCAGACTCTGGGGCCTTTCAGAACAGGTGTATATATACTGAGATCATGTGACAGATCATGTGACATTTAGAATGCACACAGGTGGTCTTTATTTAACTAATGATGTGACTTCTGAAGGTAATTGGTTGCACCAGATCTTATTTAGGGGCTTCATAGCAAAGGGGGTGAATACACGCACCTCTTTTCCGTTATTTATTTTTTCGAATTTGTTGAAACTTCACCAATTTGGACTATTTTGTGTATGTCCATTACATGAAATCCAAATAAAAATCAATTTAAATTACAGGTTGTAACGCAACAAAATAGGAAAAACGCCAAGGGGGATGAATACTTTTGCAAGGCACTGTACAATGCATTATAGTCCTTCAGGAAATGATTGAACGTTTCAGTTGCATAACGATCACAAGACTTTGATTAAGGTTTATAGTATGCATTCCTGAGGTGATTTAAGAGCTTTCCCCTAAAATGTCTCCAAATCCATCACTGAGGATTTAATGCATAGGGGATCAAAGGGTCGAGGGTGAAATGAAAGACGCTATGATCATTAAGCTGTGAGGGCCCTGACTTTACTGTAAAGTAGCTGAGGGCAACTAGATCTCTGTCTGTCTGTATAATAACATTTCCTCTTAGTAAAGTCATGATGACAGTGCAGAAGTTTAGACTGCTTTATTCCAAAAGGGTCAGAATTAAAAGTATATTCCTGAAGTAAAGTTACTAATTGTTTTACATTTTGTTACAAATTAAAATGATGCATACTAGTGTATCTTATATAAATCAATGTCTTACCTCATTCTAAGCTTTCATTCATAGGCAGTTGTGCCCTTTTCTATCCAATGAGGTCCAATTTCAGGTAGCCTTGCGTCTAAAGGCATCCTTTCTAGAGACGTGCATTTTTAAAATACCTACCAATAATGCCGAAGATGCCCAGGATGTTAGGTGCGAAGATGACCAGCATGTTGATGAGAGTGAGCAGGGTGACAGCGATAGCAATGTGGCGGGGCCAGTAGAATGTCTTGTTGGGGAAAAACAACTGCTGGATGGCTCTCCTTACCTGACGAGAACAAGGGCAGAAAAGCACAGTCACAACACTATTCATATTCACAGACACAACCTTTCATCAAAGAGGAGCAGAAAGCCACTGCTTTAATATAATAATATGCCCTTTTCACCTTTTAATTTGTTTCCTCATCAATCTACACACAATATCCCGTAATGACAAAGTAAAAACAGGTTTTTTGAAATTTTTGCACATTTATTACAAATAAAAAACAGAAATACCTTATTTACATAAGTATTCAGACCCTTTGCTATGAGACTCGAAATTGAGCTCAGTTGCATCCTGTTTCCAATGATCATCCTTGAGATGTTTCTACAACTTGATTGGCGTCCACCTGTGGTACATTCAATTAATTGGACATGATTTGGAAAGGCACACACCTGTCTATATAAGGTCCCACAGTTGACAGTGCATGGCAGAGCAAAAACCAAGCCATGAGGTTGAAGGAATTGTCCGTAGAGCTCCGAGACAGGATTGTGTCGAGGCACAGATCTGGTGAAGGGTACCAAAACATTTCTGCAACATTGAAGATCCCCAAGAACACAGTGGCCTCCATCATTCTTAAATGGAAGAAGTTTGTAACCACCAAGACTCTTCCTAGCAATCGGGGAAGAAGGGCCTTGGTCAGGGAGGTGACTAAGAACCCGATGGTCACTCTAACAGAGCTCCAGAGTTCCTCTGTGGAGATGGGAGAACCTTCCAGAAGGACAAGCATCTCTGCAGCACTCCACCAATCAGGCCTTCATGGTAGAGTGGCCAGACTGAAGCCACTCTTCAGGAAAAGGCACATGACAGCCCACTTGGAGTTTGTCAAAAGGCACCTAAAGGACTCTCAGACCATGAGAAACAAGATTCTCTGGTCTGATGAAACTAAGATTGAAACCAGGCACCATCCCTATGGTGAAGCATGGTGGTGGCAGCATCATGCTGTGGTGATGTTTTTCAGCGGCAAGGACTGGGAGACTAGTCAGGATCGAGGGAAAGATGAACGGAGCAAAGTACAGAGAGATCCTTGATGAAAACCTGCCCAGAGTGCTCAGGACCGCAGACTGAGGCGAAGCTTCACCTTCCAACAGCACAACGACCCTAAGCACACAGCCAAGACAACGTAGGAGTGGCTTCGGGACAAGTCTCTGAATGTCCTTGAGTGGCCCAGCCAGAGCCCGGACTTGAACTTGATGGAACATCTCTAGAGAGACCTGAAAATAGCTGTGCAGCGATGCTCCCCATCCAACCTGACAGAGCTTGAGAGGATCTGCAGAGAAGAATAGGAGAAACTCCCCAAATACAGGTGTGCCAAGCTTGTAGCGTCATACCCAAGAAGACTCTGGGCTATAAACGCTGCCAAAGGTGCTTCAACAAAGTACTGAGTAAAGGGTCTGAATACTTATGTAAATGTCATATTTAAGTTGTTGATTTTTTATAAATTTGCAACAATTTAAAAAAAAAAGTTTTTGCTTTGTCATTCTAGGGTATTGTGTGTAGATTGACAATATTTATTTTTTAAATACATTTTAGAATAAGGCTGTAACGTAAACAACTAGGAAAAAGTCAAGTGGTCTGAATACTTTCCGAATGCACTGCACATCTTTACTTCTAGGCATACACAGTTCCATTGAGCCAGACACCATTTGTGCAAAGAGGTAACTAGGCTACTCACAGGGAAGAGCACTATGGGGACGGTGAGTGTGACAGCAGTGAGCACGGCCAGACGGACACACAGGATCAGGGTGTCGTACGGGTCCAGACGGCTGTAGGTGTGCAGCAGCTCTGACTCCACTTCACCTATAGGGGGCAGACACACAGAAGGAGGGATTAGCGAAGCATCAATAACCACCAACTCCAGTAAGAGCAGAAAATGTAGTACAAATGATATGCAACATATCATTCACAACAATGTTTTTTCCATCAGAAGGCATAAAAAATCTGTCTTACACGTTACATGCTGCTCATCATTGTGCTCAGAGCCTTATATTGAGATACAGGTAACTGGCAAAATAAAGGAAACACCAACATAAAGTGTTTTAATAGGGCGATGGGCCACCATGAGCCAAAACAGCTTCAATGCACTTTGGCATAAATTCCACAAGTCTGGAACTCTATTGGAGGGATGCGACATCATTCTTCCCCAAGAAATTCCATCATTTGGTGTTTTGTTAATGGTGATGGAAAACACTGTCTCAGGCGCCGCTCCAGTATCTCCCATAAGTGTTCAATTGGGTTGAGATCTGGAGATGGGCAAATGGCATATGGTTTACATCATTTTCATGCTCATCAAACCATTCAGTGACCACTCGTGCCCTGTGGATGGGAGCATTGTCATCCTATGGCGGCATTGCCATGGTAGCCAAAATAATGGCCTGCCCAGCACTTTACACATGACCCTAAGCATGATAGAATGTTAATTGCTTAATTAACTCAGGAACCACACCTGTGTGGAAGCACCTGCTTTCAATATGCACTACCGTTCAAAAGTTTGGGATCACTTAGAAATTTCCTTGTTTTCCATGAAAACATACATGAATAGGAAATATAGCAAAATGAATAGGAAATGTAGTCATTGACAAGGTAAGAAATAATGATTTTTAATTGAAATAATAATTGTGTCCTTCAAACTTTGCTTTTGTCAAAGAATCCACCATTTGCAGCAATTACTGCCTTGCAGACCTTTAGCATTCTAGTTGTCAATTTGTTGAGGTAATCTGAAGCGATTTCACCCCATGCTTCCTGAAGCACCTCCCACAAGTTGGATTGGCTTGATGGGCACTTCTTACGTACCATATGGTCAAGCTGCTCCCACAACAGCTCAATAGGGTTGAGATCCGGTGACTGTGCTGGCCACTCCATTATAGACAGAATACCAGCTGACTGCTTCTTCCCTAAATAGTTATTGCATAGTTTGGAGCTGTGCTTAGGGTCATTGTCCTGTTGTAGGAGGAAATTGGCTCCAATCAAGCGCCGTCCACAGGGTATGGCGTGGCGTGGCAAAATGGAGTGATAGCCTTCCTTCTTCAAGATCCCTTTTACCCTGTACAAATCTCCCTCTTTATTTGGTCTGCGTCTCACAAATGTTCTTCTTTGTGATCCGAACACCTCAAACTTTGAATCGTCTGTCCATAACACTTTTTTCCAATCTTCCTCTGTCCAGTGTCTGTGTTCTTTTGCCCATCTTAATCTTTTCTTTTTATTGGCCAGTCTGAGATTTGGCTTTTTCTTTGCAACTCTGCCTAGAAGGTCAGCATCCCGGAGTCGCCTCTTCACTGTTGACATTGAGACTGGTGTTTTGCGGGTACTATTTAATTAAGCTGTTTCTCAAACTAGACACTAATGTATTTGACCTCTTGCTCAGTTGTGCACCGGGGCCTCCCACTCCTCTTTCTATTCTGGTTAGAGCCAGTTTGCGCTGTTCTGTGAAGGGAGTAGTACACAGCGTTGTACGAGATCTTCAGTTTCTTGGCAATTTCTCGCATGGAAAAGACTGACGGTTTTCAGAAGAAAGTTCTTTGTTTCTGTCCATTTTGATCCTGTAATCAAACACACAATTGCTGATGCTCCAGATACTCAACTAGTCTCAAGAAGGCCCGTTTTATTGCTTCTTTAATCAGCACAACAGTTTTCAGCTGTGCTAACATAATTGCAAAAGGGTTTTCTAATGATCAATTAGCTTTTTAAAATGATAAACTTGGATTAGCAAACACAACGTGCCATTGGAACACAGGACTGATGGTTGCTGATAATGGGCCTCTGTACGCCTATGTAGATATTCCATAAAAAATCAGCCGTTTCCAGCTACAATAGCCATTTACAACATTAACAATGTCTACACTGTATTTCTGATCAATTTGATGTTATTTTAATGGACAAAAAAATAGATTTTATTTAGAAAACAAGGACATTTCTAAGTGACCCCAAACCTTTGAAAGGTAGTGTACTTTGTATCACTCATTTCTCAAGTGTTTCCATTTTCTTGGCAGTTACCTGTATATACTACAGTAATATACTGCTCTGATTGTGCTTATAACAATGTCATAGAGTAGAATCATTGGGATATTAGAAACCGGTCTGATATGAGCAATGGCCACTAGGAGGAGTAGTTACTTCATTATGTTTCTCTACCACTATCTTAACTTCTGAAGCCACATGACGTGACCCATCTTCTCATCTGAGACTAACTGATGTTATAACAGCCTCTCAAGCCTAAAAGAGCTGTGTCCATGCAAATGAATGGCAAACGTGAGAAGTGGCTTTGCTGTTAGCAAACTGAACTAGCCTGAAACTCATGTAAAATGGGCCTGAGAAAACGTATGAGATTCAGCAGTCGGAGGAGCAGCAGTGAAAAGAGAGAGAGAGAACAGGGGAGAGAGAGAGAGAGAGAAAGATCATTATAATGACATGGAGAGAGAGAGAGAGAGAGAGAGAGAGAGAGAGAGAGAGAGAGAGAGAGAGAGAGAGAGAGAGAGAGAGAGAGAGAGAACAGGGGAGAGGGAGAGGGAGAGAGAGAGAACAGGGGAGAGGGAGAGGGAGAGAGAGAGAATTATAATGACATGGAGGTGAGCGGGCCTCACCATAGAAGGTCAGGTATCCAAACAGAGCAGCCAGGAAGTACATGGTGTACATGACTACAATGGAGATGTTGGACACATGCTGCATCCTTTGCTTGGTGGGGCTAAAATCAGAGAATATTGCATGATGTGATGTCACACACACTTACACACACCAACACACCAACAAAGACACAAACAAAAAATACCAGTTTTAGCTTTTGTCATCATACTCTGACTGAGAGTGCTTCAGGAGTTACATAAGATCCAAGACTCAAATGAATGTAATATTGTGGCTGAACACATCAGATTAATCTAAAGAGACAGATGTTATAGTGGGTTCAACAAGGCAGCAGGATGATTATTCAGATTATGGCCAGGCTAGCTATGCGTATTTACACATGACATTACTGAGAATGCAAGGCAGTGTGCTATATGACACTGGCATATGAGTAGCCAAGGACAAAGCTGACATAATGATTTTCCTATCTGCAGGGTGACTGAACTGAATTCTGGGTCCAATAGTAAACAGCAACAGTGCTGCATCCTGTTGCAAGTGGGGCACCTACTTTTTGAGCTCAGTGTAGATGGGCAGGACCTCAGGGTGGCACACAAAGGCAAACGCCAGGATTGGGATGGTGTAGGCCGTCTGGAAAAAATAGAACACTGTGAAGTCACCATGGATAAGGCGGCGCCTGTCCCAGCCGTCTTACCATCAACCCATTGTTTTACTGGCCATTAGGGCCTTGAAGCACACATCACACAGAGCTAATTGTTTCCCTGTGATTAACTTGGACCTGGCTACTGTCCAGCTTTAGCCGGCTTACGGATGCCTGGGCAGTAAGCTGATCAGCAGGAGGGATTGGTCTAACTAGCCTGGGTGACTAGGGAAATCTCACACATCTTTAAGGGATGCTAATAATAGGATTGTATATACTAGTCAATACTCTACCGCTAATTCTTCAGTGTATGACTGACTACAAAAGACTACAACTATACTGTTACTATTAGTACTGCATAATATGAATATCATATACAGTGCTATGAAAAAGTATTTGCCCCCTTTCTAATTTTCTCTACTTTTGCATATTTGTGATACTGAATGTTATCAGATCTTCAACCAAAACCTAATATTAGATAAAGGGAACATAAGTGAACAAATAACACAACAATTACATATTTATTTCATAAACAAAGTTATGCAAAACCCAATTCCCCTGTGTGAAAAAGTAATTGCCCCCTTACACTCAATAACTGGTTGTGCCACCTTTAGCTGCAATGACTCCAACCAAATGCTTCCTGTAGTTGTTGATCAGTCTCTCACGTCGCTGTGGAGGAATTTTGGCCCACTCTTCCCTGCAGAACTGCTTTAACTCAGTGACGTGTGGGTTTTCAAGTATGAACTGCTCGTTTCAAGTCCTGCCACAACATCTCAATTGGGAATAGGTCTGGACTTTGACTAGGCCATTCTAAAACTTCCAATTTGTTGCTTTTTAGCAATTTTCATGTAGACTTGATTGTGTGTTTTGGATCATTGTCTTGCTGCATGACCCAGCTGCGCTTCAGCTTCAGCTCACAGACGGATGGTCTGACATTCTCCTGTAGAATTCTCTGATACAGAGCAGAATTCATGGTTCCTTCTATTAAGGCAAGTCGTCCAGGTCCTGAGGCAGCAAAGCATCCCCAAACCATCACACCACCACCACCATGCTTGACCTTTGGTATGATGTTCTTACTGTGGAATGCAGAGTTTGGTTTTCGCCAGGCATTACTGGAACCATGTCGTCCATTTAAATGTTTTTTTGAATAACAGGGCTGGAATGGATGGACTGATGGAACTGACTGTACAGGAACCCACCTGTGAGTTGAGGTTGACCATTTTCGGAACGCAGGCTGGGTTGTAACCAGTGTCATTGGTAACAGCAGTCACACTGGCTGTGCTGTTAAAGGTAAAGTCCAAAAAGGGACAGGGGGTGTGGAACTTCTTATAAATGACCTGTGGAGAGGAAAAAGGAATTGGCTGGATGAGAGGAGGAGCCTCGAGGAAATGGGACTGCATACATAATACTAGCCTACACAGAGGGGCTGGAAATATGGCAGGGCCCAGCCAGGGACAGAGAGCAGCGGACATGTATTAGAGCACAGCACACAGAACTAAAACTAGGTCAGAGAAACACATACTCACACACACACACACACATATGGACACACACACACACACACAGACCAACGCCATCTGAAACTGCAGGGTACAAAACTTGTCCACAAAAATCTGAGAGGAGAGCGGAATAATAAAGAGGTTGAACCTCTGATCACTGACTGATAGTGAGACTAAGAACCTCTGATCACTGACTGATAGTGAGACTAAGAACCTCTGATCACTGACTGATAGTGAGACTAAGAACCTCTGATCACTGACTGATAGTGAGACTAAGAACCTCTGATCACTGACTGATAGTGAGACTAAGAACCTCTGATCACTGACTGATAGTGAGACTAAGAACCTCTGATCACTGACTGATAGTGAGACTAAGAACCTCTGATCACTGACTGATAGTGAGACTAAGAACCTCTGATCACTGACTGATAATGAGACTAAGAACTTCTGATCACTGACTGATAGTGAGACTAAGAACCTCTGATCATTGACTGATAGTGAGACTAAGAACCACTGATCACTGACTGATAGTGAGACTAAGAACCTCTGATCACTGACTGATAGTGAGACTAAGAACCTCTGATCACTGACTGATAGTGAGACTAAGAACCTCTGATCACTGACTGATAGTGAGACTAAGAACCTCTGATCACTGACTGATAGTGAGACTAAGAACCTCTGATCACTGACTGATAGTGAGACTAAGAACCTCTGATCACTGACTGATAGTGAGACTAAGAACCTCTGATCACTGACTGATAGTGAGACTAAGAACCTCTGATCACTGACTGATAGTGAGACTAAGAACCTCTGATCACTGACTGATAGTGAGACTAAGAACCTCTGATCACTGACTGATAGTGAGACTAAGAACCTCTGATCACTGACTGATAGTGAGACTAAGAACCTCTGATCACTGACTGATAGTGAGACTAAGAACCTCTGATCACTGACTGATAGTGAGACTAAGAACCACTGATCACTGACTGATAGTGAGACTAAGCCCAGCATAGTGAATTGATTTGCTTTTCCTGCAAGGATCCCAAAACATGATGATTACTGCAGATATGAAAAGTATATTTTAGTTGACACACATGCATATTGTGACGACTTGAGATCCGTGCACGTAACTCGGACATGTGCGTAACTCATGCATTGATGTCACTAGGAGATTTGCATTCAAATTATGTTACGCACAGGTCTCCAGATAGGGTTGGGTCCATTATGAGAGCACTGCAACAGGTGGAGGTCTACAGCTGTATAATATGACAGTACATACCGAGATGAGGAAGAAGACCATGCAGGTGAGAGAGAAGCCACTGGTGTAGCCCAGGTACCCTGAAACGACACAGAGACGACATCAGAACTACTCACATCAGACTTGACCCTGCTATATCCTCTGAGAAAAGTAATGTGGGAGGTTAGAAGGACTCTCTTATTTCACTCATGTTTAATATTTCCTCAATCCCAATGCTAATTATAGGAAATATATACAAACATTCCCAGTTTCATGACAATGTATTTGGGTGTGAGATCATAAGCGTGTATGTTCTTAGAGGGCCCAGTAGACTAGACTGAACAGGACTGCAGCTCATTACTTGGGACCATGGGCAGAATGGGAAAAAAAATGCATCTATCTTCAGAGAGATAGAGAGAGAGAGAGAGAGAGAGAAGAGATAGAAGCGATTGCGCGCGAGAGAGTAATAGAGTATATGAGCTATATAGATATATCCTATCGCCTATATCTATATATCGATATAGCTCTCCTCTATCTACTCGATCTCTCTCTCTCTCTCTCTCTCCTCTATGGGAGAAAAACACAGAGACAACCAAGAGGGTGTCACGTCTCCTCCCGTTGCTCCCCTCCGGCGCTCTGATTCGCCGGTCTACAGAGCCACCGGTCTGAGCGCACCACCTCGGCAACACCGGAATGGAAACCCAACGCACCCTAATCACCTCCAGCGCACCTGCACCTCATCATCTCATCACCACCCCTATTTAGCCCTGGACTGTTCTGGATGATGTTGTGTGAGATTGTTTAGCTTCCTGTCGTTTACTCTGTTTGTTATTTCTCGTTCTCATTGTTAAGTAAACCTTGACCTTGTTAATTCCTGCGTCTGCGTCCTGCCTCTTCGTATACTCAGTACTCGTCACAGAGGGAGAGACTCTTACTCTGTCACTTGATGAAAGCTTTGTAGACATTTCACTTTGTTAAATGAGAGAGCTCATTAAATGGAGCTGAAGCCAGGGAATTCTGAGCTGGGTAGTTTTACATTTTCATAGGACTGCTGAGAGTAACATTATCTCACATGACACAGTTTAGCACAGATATCTACTCTGAGTCCATCCTAAAACAGTGGGGGAGTGTTTGCCATGTAACAAAATAATAAAGAGAAAAGGGAGAGGGGGCAAGAGAGGGGGATTGTGAAAGAGAAGGAGGGGGAGGAGAAATGAGACAGAAGAGAGGAAGGTCACTGGTTCTGAGAACCTTCATTTACAAAACATAACACAAAATGTCACTTATAATTATAAAATGGTTAATTATACAATTATTAAGGTTTTCTCACCTAGCTGCTTCATCAAAGCCAGAGGCAGGATGACACTGATGGACACCATGATGACCAGGTAGTTCCCATTCAAGTACCACTCACTGGAGGGAGAAAGAGGGAAGAGAAAGGAGAGGGGGGTAGAGAGAGAAATGTAACACTGCTAAAATAATTTATTACATATTTAGTCCTTATTTGTAAGGGAAATGTTCAATATCTGTGTTGTTAAATTACAAGAGGAAAACTCCTTGCCAGTTAAGCCACCAGGGATAATGATAACCCATCATCAACAATATTTCCAACGGACTCACCCGCTGAGGAACTCACCCCCTGTTCCCTCAATGACACAGTTGGTAGAGTATGGCGCTTGTAACGCCAGGGTAGTGGGTTCGATTCCCGGGACCACCCCATACATAAAATGTATGTACGCATGACTGTTAGTCGCTTTGGATAAAACCATCTGCTAAATGGCATATATTATAGGGATGTAACAATTCACCGATATGCATCGATCCCCGATTAAAATGTTTAAAATATGACTGCATTGGTCTGCTGACCCCAAACTGATCCAAATGTAGCATCATGCATCCATCATAAAATCGATTCAAACATTACGAATTGCCGAATCCATATCATCTTGTTTCTCATATTACTTTATACTTTCTGAAAATACTTGATATTTTGTGACAACTGGTGCGTCCTCTCCTTCAGTGTCGAACTAAAAGCATGTAACTGTGTTGACAGTCATTGATCTACAAGTAATTTTGCATTCCGTAATTTGCTAGATTATTGTTATCAATGTGCTGTTGAAAACTGTGTTTTACTGGAATACAACTAAGCTACCAGAGACACAATGCACATCTGGCTATACCTAGGTCCAAAAGGCTTCTAACAGATTCTACCCCCAAGCCATAAAGACTCCTGAACAGCTAATCAAATGGCTACCCGGACTATTAACAGCCCCCCAATCAACTAAGCTAAATATGATGTGGCTATCCATGGTTCTGATTTCTGTGTGCTTGTGTGTGTGCGCTTTTGTGCAAGTAGAAAAAACATGTTGACTCACCCTACTTGTAGAGAAACGCCAATACCATCCTCCTCTCTTTCATGGTCTATCACTCTGTCATACAGTACACACTAGTATTTTTTGTTGTCCTAGGCTATCTGGCTAAAATGCTTGCTCGCTAGCCTAACTTCCATTCATGGGCAACGTTAGCTAGTTAACATTAGCCTTCTACATCTAGCCATCCTCTCAGCCCACGCACGGGCACAACAATGTATGAATTAATGTATGAATTAATGGTTGGATTAATGGTTGGATCAGAATCGCGTTATAATCATTGGCCAGTACAGAGAATTAAGTAAAAAAATAAATCCAAATCCCTATCTCTATCCATGGCTAATTTAGGAAAGGGCCAATTTTAGCTAGCTGGCTAGCTAGCCACCGAAGAGGACAACAACACAAGGAGATGCAACAAAGTTTTTCTGTCAATGATGTACCTCAATGGGATTTGATAGGAGTGATGCCAAATCCAAGCTGGCTTCCCTTGACACTTTTTTTGGTGCACCAGGACCATTCACAATTTAGCTCAATGTTGATTGGCTAATTTTTTATACTTTTTTGTCATAGGAGGCCAGAAGTCCGCTGGCTTGCCTTGCCTTCAATGCTAGGGGCGGAAACAATGTAATACTCGTTTGGACCAGACGGCATCAGATAGACGGCCTACACGAAGAGAGACAGAGGGGCGCTGTTTCGCTCGCTCGGATGCTTTCTCCTCTGAGATACATTCAGCCTCTTGCGAATTGAAGGAAAATTATGAAACACAGAGAGACGAAAGATAAATTATTATTTGTATTATTATTATTTTTTGTCAATTCTTTGGGGAAGTCTGTCTTCCCTTGGCATCCATGAATACACGCCACAGATACAGGGTAAAGTTGATAATTTCATAACGAGAAATCACTTTTGCGAGGCATGACTAAAGCGGGAGGAGAAAAGGCTGGAAAATAAACTAATTACGTTTCCAAATGGTCAAAACCATTCGATTTCGAGATGGGGGTGTAATCCAAAATTGTGCTATTCATTGGCTAAATCACAGCTAATTTGTAAACGATAAATATTGATACACATATACAAACACACACACACACAAAGTCAGCTCAGACAGATCCAGCTCAGATACCCTGCTCATGAGCTCTATCAGCAGCAGATTTGAATTTGGAATGGACGATGAATGTATTTATGCAACAAATGTTAGTGCATCGAATCGTATCTCATCGAACCGAATCGTATCGATTCAATTCGTTCTCTAATCAAACCGAATCGCACCTATTCGTTTCAAACTAATACGTATAGCTCCTGTATCGTATCGGAGCCCATGTATGTATCGAATCGTCTTGAAAGGGAATGATGCACATCCCTAATATATGATATAACGTTATATATTACATCTTCCCAGAACCATTAGATCAGGGATCATCAACTAGATTCAGCTGCAGGACGATTTTTTCTTGAGTGGATGGTCCGGGGGCCGGAGCACAATTACAAATAATTTGTAGACTGCAAATTGATCGCAAGAAGCTCAAACAGATATAATATCTGACTGAAACATAATCATTTCAAACCTTGCTTACATTTGTATGCAACACAATCTCACACTCAATTCGTGCAAATAATTTATGTACAAAAAGTATTTCAGCAGATTGCATGCGTTTTTTGTTTGTTTTTGTGTGGCTTAATTCATGTGAAAATGCACATTTTGTGCTACTTAATTAGTAGGAAAAGACACATTTTTGTGCAACTTAATTCATAGGAAAATACGTTTTTGGGGGGCAAACTTTAAAACAATATTTTTAAAGTTATTGGAGCAATGCATTTTGGGCAATGGTGTTCTACACTGCCTTTGCGTCCCACGTTTATTTAAATAAAAAAACAAACGTGTTAACAACTCAATATCGTTAATCACCTAAAAACGTATTTAAAAAATTTGTTTTATGCCTATGCTGTTTTCTATGCTTGTTTTCACTAAATACTTTGGGATATTGGTGCTATTGTATGTCGGATTTTATGAGGGTGGCCAGATTGGAGTTTTTTTGGTATCGATTAAGCTATTTGTTTGGGGAATAGGGATATATTTTCATGATGGGAAATTAATTCACCACTAACTTTAGGGAAACAGAAGACCTGCAAAAAAATAATATGTTTGGTTGAAATTCCCCTGGTGCAACTCCATGGTATTTGCAACTTTAACGAGTCTGGACTATGATCTTATAAGCCATATCAATGTAGTTAAACAGGTTAATGTAGAATTATGTTGGCTTACACTTATGGCACTTCCAAGGCCGTTTCATGATGATTATTACGGTTGTGTCAATCATGTTATATACTTAGGCTATTGTAACAAGGCATATGCCAGCATTGTAGGCCTACTGTCTCTGCCCAGAGGCCTAATAGGCTTTCATTGCAACGGCCCTGGTTAGAGTTCCTGTTGCAGCGTTCACTTTCTTCCTCTACATTGGGATCACGCATTGGGATCACATCCAGCTCATGTCTAGTTATTTGATCTAGTGGTGGGAAGCATTCTGTTTTTCAACATTGTGTTGGGTGTTATTACATTGATATATCTAGTGAACAATAAATTAGCAACAATGGGTGTGACGGATAGAAGTAGTCACTACAGGTGTGATCAAGCCTTACATCAAAGTTGCCTGAAGCTGAATGGAAAGTGCTATGGCCTGACCAATCCTCTGTGACTAGACATTTACAGTGGGGAAAAAAAGTATTTCGTCAGCCACCAATTGTGCAAGTTCTCCCACTTAAAAAGATGAGAGAGGCCTGCAATTTTCATCATAGGTACACGTCAACTATGACAGACAAAATGAGAAAAAAAAATCCAGAAAATCACATTGTAGGATTTTTAATGAATTTATTTGCAAATTATGGTGGAAAATAAGTATTTGGTATATAACAAAAGTTTCTCAATACTTTGTTATATACCCTTTGTTGGGGTTGAGATCTGGAGACTGGCTAGGCCACTCCAGGACCTTGAAATGCTTCTTACGAAGCCACTCCTTCGTTGCCCGGGCGGTGTGTTTGGGATCATTGTCATGCTGAAAGACCCAGCCACGTTTCATCTTCAATGCCCTTGCTGATGGAAGGAGGTTTTCACTCAAAGTCTCACGATACATGGCCCCATTCATTCTTTCCTTTACACGGATCAGTCGTCCTGGTCCCTTTGCAGAAAAACAGCCCCAAAGCATGATGTTTCCACCCCCATGCTTCACAGTAGGTATGGTGTTCTTTGGATGCAACTCAGCATTCTTTGTCCTCCAAACACGACGAGTTGAGTTTTTACCAAAAAGTTATATTTTGGTTACATCTGACCATATGACATTCTCCCAATCCTCTTCTGGATCATCCAAATGCACTCTAGCAAACTTCAGACGGGCCTGGACATGTACTGGCTTAAGCAGGGGGACACGTCTGGCACTGCAGGATTTGAGTCCCTGGCGGCGTAGTGTGTTACTGATGGTAGGCTTTGTTACTTTGGTCCCAGCTCTCTGCAGGTCATTCACTAGGTCCCCCCGTGTGGTTCTGGGATTTTTGCTCACCGTTCTTGTGATCATTTTGACCCCACAGGGTGAGATCTTGCGTGGAGCCCCAGATCGAGGGAGATTATCAGTGGTCTTGTATGTCTTCCATTTCCTAATAATTGCTCCCACAGTTGATTTCTTAAAACCAAGCTGCTTACCTATTGCAGATTCAGTCTTCCCAGCCTGGTGCAGGTCTACAATTTTGTTTCTGGTGTCCTTTGACAGCTCTTTGGTCTTGGCCATAGTGGAGTTTGGAGTGTGACTGTTTGAGGTTGTGGACAGGTGTCTTTTATACTGATAACAAGTTCAAACAGGTGCCATTAATACAGGTAACGAGTGGAGGACAGAGGAGCCTCTTAAAGAAGAAGTTACAGGTCTGTGAGAGCCAGAAATCTTGCTTGTTTACTTATTTTCCACCATAATTTGCAAATAAATTCATTAAAAATCCTACAATGTGATTTTCTGGATTCTTTTTTCTCAATTTGTCTGTCACAGTTGACGTGTACCTATGATGAAAATTACAGGCCTCTCTCATCTTTTTAAGTGGGAGAACTTGCACAATTGGTGGCTGACTAAATACTTTTTTCCCCCACTGTATATAAGTTAACTTACCAGTGTGGACCCAAAACAAACACATTCTACAAATATACAAACTACCTGTTTAAAGTGTTATTACAACCATGGTGTTCATTTGTTACTGAAGCTTACAGTGCATTCGGAAAGTATTCAGACCCCTTGACCTTTTCCACATTTTGTTACGTTACAGCCTTATTCTAAAATGGATTTAAAAAACAACAATCTCATCAATCTACACACAATACTCCATAATGACAAAGCAACAAAAAAAAGTTGTTGTTTTTTTGTTGCAAATTTGTAAAAAATTAAAAACTTAAATATCATATTTACATAAGTATTCAGACCCTTTACTCAGTACTTTGTTGAAGCACCTTTGGCAGCGATTACAGCCTTGAGTCTTCTTGGGTATGACGCTACAAGCTTGGCACACCTGTATTTGGGGAGTTTCTCCCATTCTTCTCTGCAGATCCTCTCAAGCTCTGGTTGGATAGGGTTGTTGTCCTGTTGGAAGGTGAACCTTCGCCCTTGTCTGAGGTCCTGAGCACTCTGGAGCAGGTTTTCATCAAGGATCTCTCTGTACTTTGCTCCATTCATCTTTCCCTCTATCCTAGTCTCCCAGTCCCTGCCACTGAAAAACATCCCAACAGCATGATGCTGCTACCACCGTGCTTCACTGTAGGGATGGTGCCAGGTTTCATCCAGACGTGATGCTTGGCATTCAGGCCAAAGAGTTGGTTTCATCAGACCAGAGAAACTTGTTCTTTTGGAAGGTGCGCCCATCTCCACAGAGGAACTCTGGAGCTCTGTCAGAGTGACCATCGGGTTCTTGGTCACCTCCCTGACCAAGGCCCTTCTCCCCTGATTGCTCAGTTTGGCCGGGCGGCCAGCTCTAGGAAGAGTCTTGGTGGTTCCAAACTTCTTCCATTTAAGAATGATGGAGGCCACTGTGTTCTTAGGGACCTTCAATGCTGCAGAAATGTTTTTGGTACCCTTCCCCTCGACACAATCCTGTCTCGGAGCTCTACGGACAATTCCTTCGACCACATGGCTTGGTTTTTGCTCTGAGATGCACTGTCAACTGTGGGACCTTATATAGACAGGTTTGTGCCTTTCCAAATCATGTCCAATCAATATAATTTACCACAGGTGGACTCCAATCCAAGACTCCAAGTTGTAAAGACATCTCAAGGATGATCAATGGAAACAGGATGCACATGAGCTCAATTTTCTTGAGTCTCATAGCAAAGGGTATTTCTGTTTTGATGTTTTATACATTTGCAAAATTTTCAAAACATACAGTTTTCGCTCTGTCGTTATGGGGCATTGTGTGTAGATTGATGAGGGAACATTTTTATTTAATAAATTTTAGAATAAGGCTGTAACGTAATAAAACGTGGAAAAAGTCAAGGGGTTTGAATACTTTCCAAATGCACTGTATATATCTAATAACCTGACAATGATCCACATCATATTGGTAGACAAATACAGTGCCTTGCAAAAGTATTCATCCCCCTAGGCGTTTTTCCTATTTTGTTGCATTACAACCTGTAATTTAAATGGATTTCTATTTGTATTTCATGTAATGGACATACACAAAATAGTCCAAATTGGTGAAGTGAAATTAAAAAAATAACTTGTTTCAAAAAATTCTAAAAAATAAATAACGGAAAAGTGGTGCGTGCATATGTATTCACCCCCTTTGCTATGAAGCCCCTAAATAAGATCTGGTGCAACCAATTACCTTCAGAAGTCACATAATTAGTTAAATAAAGACCACCTGTGTGCAATCTAAGTGTCAGGTGATCTCAGTATATATACACCTGTTCTGAAAGGCTCCAGAGTCTGCAACACCACTAAGCAAGGGGCACCATGAAGACCAAGGAGCTCTCCAAACAGTTCAGGGACAAAGTTGTGGAGAAGTACAGATCAGGGTTGGGTTATAAAAAAATATCCGAAACTTTGAACATCCCACGGAGCACCATTAAATCCATTATTAAAAAATTGAAAGAATATGGCACCACAACAAACCTGCCAAGAGAGGGCCGCCCACCAAAACTCACGGACCAGGCAAGGAGGGCATTAATCAGAGAGGCATCAAAGTGACCAAAGATAACCCTGAAGGAGCTGCAAAGATCCACAGCGGAGATTGGAGTATCTGTCCATAGGACCACTTTAAGCCGTACACTCCACAGAGCTTGGCTTTACAGAAGAGTGGCCAGAAACATGCCATTGCTTAAAGAAAGAAATAAGCAAACATGTTTGGTGTTCGCCAAAAGGCATGTGGGAGACTCCCCAAACATATGGAAGAAGGTACTCTGGTCAGATGAGACAAAAATTGAGCTTTTTGGCCATCAAGGAAAACGCTATGTCTGGAGTAAACCCAACACCTCTCATCACCTCTCATCACCCCGAGAAACCATCCCCACAGTGGCAGGGACTGGGAAACTGGTCAGAATTGAAGGAATGATGGATGGCGCTAAATAGAGGGAAATTCTTGAGGGAAACCTGTTTCAGTCTTCCAGAGATTTAAGACTGGGACGGAGGTTCACCTTCCAGCATGACAATGACCCTAAGCATACCGCTAAAGCAACACTTGAGTGGTTTAAGGGGAAACATTTTAATGTCTTGGAATAGCCTAGTCAAAGCCCAGACCTCCATCCAATTGAGAATCTGTGGTATGACTTAAAGATTGCTGTACACCAGCAGAACCCATCCAACTTGAAGGAGCTGGAGCAGTTTTGCCTTGAAGAATGGGCAACACATCCCAGTGGCTAGATGTGCCAAGCTTATAGAGACATACCCCAAGAGACTTGCAGCTGTAAATGCTGCAAAAGGTGGCTCTACAAAGTATTGACTTTGGGGGGGTGAATAGTTATATGTTGGCGAGGTATATTTTCCCCTGTGTGCCTGTATTTGTTCCAGTGCGCCTGTTTTGCGCACTGGACTGTTGACGCTATCCAGCGTAACTGTGTACATTCGTAGTGGAGGTGGATGCATCCGAGGTAGGGATAGGCGCTGTCCTATCTCAACACTCGGGCACACCACCCACGCTCCGCACCTGTGCCTTCTTCTCTAAGAAGCTCAGCCCGGCGGAGCAGAACTACGCCATTGGTGATCGGGAGCTGTTGACTGTTGTCCGAGTCCTGACCGTGTGGAGGAATTGGCTCGAAGGGGCGAAACACCCTTTCCTTGTCTGGATGGACCACCGTAACCTAGAGTACATCCGGGCAGCGAGGAGGCTGAATCCTCGCTAGGCCAGGTGGACTCTATTCTTCACCCGGTTTGATTTCACACTATCATACATCCCGGGTACGAAGAACGTGAAGGCAGACGCATTGTCACCGCTGTATGACACAGAGGAGAGGCCCAGAGACAACAGCCATATACTCCCGGCATCCTGCATTGTGGCGCCGGTAGGATGGGCGATGGACACGGATATAGAGCAGGCATTACGCACAGCGCCATCTCCACCTCAGTGTCCAGCTTGGCTGCAGTACGTGCCTGCTCTTATCCGTGATCGTCTGATCTAATGGGCACACACGTCACCCTCCTCTGGTCAGCCAGGTATCGGTCGTACAGTGCGCTGCCTGACCGGAAAGTACTGGTGGCCTACCTTGGCTAAGGACGTGAGGGTGTTTCCTCCTGCTCGGTGTGCACCCAGAGTAAGGCACCTAGGCACCTCCCAGCGGGTAAGTTACAACTTTTACCAGTTCCACAATGACCATGGTCTCACCTGAGTGTTGATTTTCTGACTGATCTTCCCCTCTCCCAAGGTAACACCACCATCCTGGTCATTGTGGACTGCTTTTCCAAGGCCTGCCGCCTCCTTCCTCTGTCCGGTCTCCCCACGGCCCTGCAAACTGCAGAGGCCCTGTTTACACACGTCTTCCATCACTACGGGGTACCAGAGCATATAGTGTCTGACCGAGGTCCCCAGTTCACATCCAAGGTCTGGAAGGCATTCATGGAACATCTGGGGGTCTCGTCAGCCATACCTCTGGTTTCCACCCCGAGTCTAATGGGCAGGTGGAATGGGTAAATCAGGATGTGGGTAGGTTCCTTCGGTCCTACTGCCAGGACCGGCCGGGGGAGTGGTCGGTGCCCAGAACTCTCTCCGTCACTCCTCCACTAACCTAACGCCATTCCAATGTGGCACCAGAGCCAGACCGAGGCTCCTGCGGTGGATGACTGGTTTCGGCACATGGAGGAGACGTGGGACACTGCCCACGTCCACCTCCAACGCGCCGTGCGTCATCAGAAGGCCAACGCTGACCGCCACCGCAGTGAGGCCCCGGTCTTTGTACCGGGTGATTGGGTCTGGCTCTCGACCCAGAATCTGCCCCTCCGCCTGCCCTGCCGGAAGCTGAGCCCGCGGTTTGTGGGGCCGTTCAAAGTCCAATCAAATACCTTCATTGATACCAAAAAATAAAAACATAAAAATCTGTATTTTTTCTCCAATCTGGCAACCCTCACAAAATTTGACATAGCCTTGTATAAAATGCATTATGAAAGAAATGGTGTAATGTACATGAAAAAGTGAAGCCTTGTATTAAATGCATTATGAAGAAAATTGTGTAATGTAGGCTCCACAAAATATGAAATGCATTATGAAGAAAATCGTGAAGGCCTACTAACTGCCTTCATAAAAAAAGGTCCTTTCTGACTACAAGAGCACAAGTATCCCAAAGTATTAAGCGAACATAAGCATAGAAAACAGTATTGGCATTAATAAATTAAAAAAACGTAAGGATACTATTATATTATAATTATTTCGGTGACAACCTGGTTGATTAACAATATTGGGTTGTTAACACGTTTGGTTTTTTATATAAATAAATGTGGGACACAAAAAAAGACACATCATGCATTGCTCTAATAACTTTCAAAAGGTTGTTTGCCCCCCAAAATGTATTTTCCTATGAATGAAGACGCACAAAAAGGTGTCTTTTCCTACGAATTAAGTCGCACATAAATGTGTATTTTCACACGAATTAAGCTACATAAAAATGCACAAAAACACATTAAATCTGCTGAAATACTTTTTGTACATATTTGCACAAATTGAGTGTGAGATTGTGTTGTTTTATACGATCACATATGCCTCTCTATTATGCTTGGGAATACTATGGAACAGATTTCCAAAATTAAAATCATTTGGAGCTGATTTGCTATGGGTTTTACAGTCTTTAATGTTCAACAATAAAAAAAACTATAAAAAACTTGGGGGGTCATATAAAATCACCTGTGGGCCAAATTCAGCCTGTGGCCCACCAGTTGGGGAACCCTGCTTTAGACATTTAACCCAGGTGGTGCTCGTATGAGAGGGACATCAGTGTGTTAAAGCTCTTAAAGGGGCAATCTGCAGTTGCTACATACATTTTTTGACATAAATTAATGATATGTACCCATTGATTCTTGAAGAATATAGCTTATAAATACCTCATGAGCTTAGTTCAACTGTCGTACCCCATCAGAACTCAAAATATAAGTTTGTTTTACTCAAATGTTTGTAAACAAAGTAAATCTAAACAAACACTATATAGTCTCAAAACATGGTTAAAAGTATAATTTTTATATCATGGGTGGTCAGTCCTTGCATCCATAGCCCTTGCATCCATAGCTTCCGTCTCGCCTCTAGTGACCACTGATTGGACTGGAGGGTGAGAACATAGGGTTTCTAGTGACCACTGATTGGACTGGAGGGTGAGAACATAGGGTCTCTAGTGACCACTGATTGGACTAGAGGGTGAGAACATATGGTCTCTAGTGACCACTGATTGGACTAGAGGGTGAGAACATATGGTCTCTAGTGACCACTGATTGGACTGGAGGGTGAGAACATAGGGTTTCTAGTGACCACTGATTGGACTGGAGGGTGAGAACATAGGGTCTCTAGTGACCACTGATTGGACTAGAGGGTGAGAACATATGGTCTCTAGTGACCACTGATTGGACTAGAGGGTGAGAACATATGGTCTCTAGTGACCACTGATTGGAGTAGAGGGTGAGAACATAGGGTCTCTAGTGACCACTGACTGGACTAGAGGGTGAGAACATAGGGTCTCTAGTGACCACTGACTGGACTAGAGGGTGAGAACATAGGGTCTCTAGTGACCACTGATTGGACTAGAGGGTGAGAACATATGGTCTCTAGTGACCACTGATTGGACTAGAGCAGGGTTCTTCAATTCCGGTCCTGGAGGGCCGAAACACTTCTGTTTTTCATTTCTACCTGGTATTTAATTGCACTCACCTGGTGTCCTAGGTCTGAATTAGCCCCTGATTAGAAGGAGAGGATGAAAAACAGAGGTGTTTCAGCCCTCCAGGACCGGAATTGAAGAACCCTGGACTAGAGGGTGAGAACATGGGAAACACAGCGCCGTCTGAGGCTGCAGCGTCTGGACTGGATAGTTACTGGACAGTCACTGGGGTGGGGACACACCATTCCCTTAGCATACTGGGACAGACCAATCATAGCCTACTACACACAAGGTGTGGCTGCCTAGAGACTCTGGTTAACAAGTGAAATAGGACAATGTATGACACATAGAATCCACTGGATTACTAATACTAACCAAATCCACCACATCTGAGACAGTGGAGGAGGTTCATCTCATATTTTCTCTATGACAGAGAAATCCAGCATCTGTATTCTAGAGTTGTAACCTGTGAGAGTGGTCCATTTATTGTGCTGTCAGTGTCGAGCTGCCCCACCTACACCCCAGCCAACCATCTTGCCCCACATCATCACAGAGAGGGGCAGAGGAGACTGACCTTCTGAACCACACTGGACACAAACAAACACACACTGATGCATACACACCACAGCAATTCCAGACACAAACATCAACAACAACATACTCACACAAACAAACCCTCAATCCACATACAGTATCAACACTCCAGGCAAAAAGCAGATATCTGACAGTCTGGTTGGTAAAACACACACACAGCCTTGGGTGCTGATTGATCTATGGATCGTTCTGTGGACAGCTCACACACACACACAATGTCATTCAGACTGAGAATATGAGACATTCTGTGTAGCAGTAAAACACTTCCTGGACATCATTCAGTTCAGTCAGCATCATAAACACACTGACAGCTGGTCATAACACACCAACACAAGCCAGGCAGGTACCATATACCAGATTATAGACAGTGCAGAGAGGCTGCTACAGTATACTCCTCAGTCTGTTTCAGGGTAATGGCCATTGTACTATCAGGCAACCTGCTCTAGTCTACATAGTGTTATCCTCTGGTTTACGTTTCAGCCGTGGAGCCTGGCTGTGTAATGATGTGTGTCTGTCTCTCCTCCCAGGGTCATTCTCACACACAGCTGTTCTCAGGCCAGCTGCTTGGCATGGTGTGTCACGAATTCAGCCGAGGCTGCCCCTCCTCCTTGCTCGGGCAGGTTTCGGCGTTCGTCGTCACCGGTTTACAAGCCACGACCGCTCCATTTATCATCACTCCATTTGTCTTGTCTTGTCTTGTCTTGTCAATCACACACACCTGTTACTCATTCCCTCATTAGTCTGTGTATAAGTGTTCCCTCTGCCCCCTTGTCCTTTGTGAGTGAGCTACTCTTTACTTGTATGCAGCCAAGGTTGATTTTCCCTTGTGCTAGTTTCGATCTGTCGCTATATGCGCTACATTATTGTAGACTGAATAAACTCTTGATTTCTGTGTTTTACCTCCTGCGCTTGACTCCGTCATTCACACATCACAGAATCATTCACCAGCTATGGAGTCAGCGGGAGAAGAGCGCACACCTGGAATCGTGGCAAGGGTCCAGGAGCATTCCACGATGCTGGCCAGCTTGGGGGAAGCGATGGATCGGGTTCTTCAGGTCGTCCAACGCCTGGAGAGAAGAGGAACCGATCTATCGAGACCAGCTGGCCAACCGGATCCAGCCACCTACATCACAGCACCCGGAGGGATCCAGATATCCCGACCTCGGGCGTTCGATGGGACGCCGGCTCTATATCAGGGATTCCTTCTCCAACTGGAGCTGTACTGCTCCAGTGTCAGGCCGGCGCCATCAGAACGAGAGCAGGTGTCCGTCCTCATTTCCTGCCTCTCGGGGAAAGCCCTGGAGTGGGCCAACGCGGTTTGGAGAGAAGGAGGAGCCGCGTTGGAGGACTACAGGGAGTTCGCCTGCCTATTTCGGGCGGTTTTCGATCACCCGCCCGAGGGTCGAGAGGCGGGTGAGCAGCTGGTCCACTTGAGGCAAGGGACAGTACAGGAGTTCGCGCTGGAGTTCCGGATCCTGGCAGCAGGGTCCGGGAGGAACAAGCGGGCCCTGATCAACCAGTTCCGGTGCCATCTACGGGAGGAAGTCCAACGGGAGCTAGCCTGCCATGACACCAGTTTGTCTTTTCCCGAACTGGTGGACATGGCCATTCGTCTGGATAACCTGCTGGCAACCAGAGGACGTCCTGGAGGAGGCCTGCCCGTTCCCACCCCGACCGACGCGGATCTAGAGCTCATGGAGCTGGGTGGGACCGCGCACCGAGAGAGCGGAGGACGACAGCGCCAGTGCCACTCGGATGGCACGAAGGGACATTCCATCACACGTTGTCGTCAGCGCTCTTCTGGGTCAGGAGGCGGTCGGCAGGGCACTCTGGCATCACCCCAGATATTGAGCACCCACTCTTGTTCAGAGCCCTCTGCTAAGCACTGTACTATACCCATATACTTCCCTGATCACATGAGAGTTCCCCGGTGTAAGGCGCTAGTCGATTCAGGCGCAGCTGGGAACTTTATGGACAAAAATTTTGCACGCCGCCAGGGCATTTCATTAGTTCCCCTATCCATTCCACTCCCCATCAGAGCACTTGATAGTCGACCATTAGGGTCCGGGTTGATAAAGGAAGTCACGGTACCAGTCACCATGATCACACAGGAGACGCATTGTGAGCAGGTCACTTTTTCCATCATTGTCTCCTGCTTTCCCTGTGCTGTTAGGTATTCCATGGCTAGCACTCCACAACCCCACTTTCTCATGGCCGCAGAAGGTTCTCACGGGGTGGTCGCGAGAGGGTTAGGGTAGGTGTATGGGTGTTTCCGTTCGTGCAACCATGGTGGAAAGTTCAGACGGTGCCTCCACCGTGCGCATTCCCCCCGAGTACCATGATCTGGCACAAGTCTTCTCTAAAAATAAAGCGACTAAATTACCACCTCATCGGGCGGGGGATTGCGCAATAAACCTTCGGGTAGACGCTGTACCTCCCAGGAGTCATGTGTATCCCCTGTCGCAGGCGGAGACGGAGGCTATGGAGACATACGTCACCGAGTCCCTGTGCCAGGGGTACATACGTCCCTCCACTTCACCCGCCTCCTCAAGTTTCTTTTTTTGTGAAGAAGAAAGACGGCGGTCTGCACCCGTGCATTGACTATCGACCACTGAACAAGGAGACGATTAGATTGAGTTATCTTCTCCCCCTCATTCCGTCAGTGGTTGAGTCATTGCATGGAGCGCACTTCTTCACTAAATTAGATCTCAGGAGTGCGTACAACCTGGTGCGTATCCGAGTATCAGTCTTCCAGTCCTTTGTGAATGAGGTGTTTCGGGACATGCTTGGTCACGGTGTAGTGGTCTACATCGACGACATCTTGGTGTATTCCGCTACGTGCGCTGAGCATGTGTCCCTGGTTCGCAAAGTACTGGCCCGACTGTTGGAAAATGACCTTTATGCTAAGGCAGAGAAGTGTATGTTTTTCCAGCAGTCCGTCTCCTTCCTCGGATACCGCATTTCTACCACAGGTGTGGAGATGGAGGGAGACCGCATTGCAGCCGTGCGTAATTGGCCGACTCCAACCATGGTAATGGAGGTGCAGCACTTCCTTGGCTTCTCCCAACTATTATTGAAGGTTTATCCGGGGCTTTGGCAAGGTCGCAGCTCCCATTACATCTCTGTTGAAGGCTGGGCCATCCCGGCTCCGCTGGTCTGCTGAGGCTGACAGGGCCTTCAGTAACCTGAGGGAACTGTTCACCTCGGCCCCGGTACTGGCCCACCCCGATCCATCATTACCGTTCGTAGTGGAGGTGGATGCGTCCGAGGTTGGGATGGGAGCAGTCCTGTCTCAACGCTCGGGCACGCCACCCAAGCTCCGCACCTGTGCGTTCTTCTCAAAGAAGCTCAGCCCGGCGGAGCAGAACTATGGCGTTGGTGATCGGGAGCTGTTGGCTGTTGTCCGAGCTCTGACAGTGTGGAGACATTGGCTTGAGGGAGCGAAACACCCATTCCTCGTCTGTGACGGACCACCGTAACCTGGAGTACATCCGGGCAGCGAGGAGGCTGAACCCTCGCCAGGCCAGGTGGGCCCTATTCTTCACCCGGTTTGACTTCACACTGTCATACATTCTGGGTACGAAGAACGTGAAGGCAGATGCACTGTCCCGGCTGTATGATACAGAGGAGAGGCCCAGAGACAATACCCCCTTACTGCCAGACTCCTGCATTGTGGCGCCAGTAGTATGGGTGATGGACGCGGATATAGCGCAGGCATTACGCACAGACCCATCTCCACCTCAGTGTCCAGCTGGGCTGCAGTACATGCCTGCGCTTATCCGTGATCGTCTGATCTACTGGGCACACACGTCACCCTCCTCTGGTCACCCAGGTATCGGTCGTACAGTACGCTGCCTGACCGAAAAGTACTGGTGGCCTACCTTGGCTAAGGACGTGAGGGTGTATGTTTCCTCCTGCTCAGTGTGCACCCAGAGTAAGGCACCCAGGCACCTCCCAGTGGGTAAGTTAAAACCTTTACCAGTTCCACAATGACCATGGTCTCATTTGAGTGTTGATTTTTTAACTGATCTGCCTCTCTCTCAAGGGAACACCACCATCCTGGTCGTTGTGGACCGCTTTGAAGGCCTGCCGCCTCCTTCCTCTGCCCGGTCTCCCCACGGCTCTGCAAACTGCGGAGGCCCTGTTTCCACACGTCTTCCGGCACTACGGGGTACCAGAGGATATAGTGTCTGACCGAGGTCCCCAGTTCATGTCAAAAGTCTGGAAGGCGTTCATGGAACGTCTGGGAGTCTCGGTCAGCCTGACCTCTGGGTTCCACCCTGAGAATAATGGGCAGGTGGAACAGGTTAATCAGGATGTGGGTAGATTCCTGAGGTCCTATTGCCAGGACCGGCCGGGGGAGTGGTCGGTGTTCCTGCCATGGGCAGAATATGCCCAGAACTCTCTCCGCCACTCCTCTACGAACCAAACACCATTTCAGTGTGTTTTAGGTTATCAACCGGTTTTGGCACCGTGGCACCAGAGCCAGACCGAAGCTCCTGCAGTGGATGACTGGTTTCGGCACGCGGAGGAGACGTGGAACGCTGCCCATGTTCACCTCCAATGCGCAGTGCGTCGTCAGAAGGCCAACGCTGTCCGTCACCGCAGTGAGGCCCCCGTCTTTGTACCGGGGGATCGGGTCTGGCTCTCGACCCGGAATCTGCCCCTATGCCTGCCCTGCCGGAAGCTGAGCCCACAGTTTGTAGGGCCATTCAAAGTCCTGAGGAGAATCAACGAGGTCACATATAGGTTATTACTCCCCCCTGATTACCGTATTAACCCCTCGATTCATGTGTCTCTCCTCAGGCCGGTGGTGGCTGGTCCGCTCCAGGAGTCTGAGGTGCGGGAGGTCCCTCCACCTCCTTTGGACATCGAGGGGGCGCCGGCGTACTCTGTCCGGTCCATCCTGGAATCGAGGTGCCGGGTGGGGGGCCTTCAGTACCTCGTGGAGTAGGAAGGGTACGGTCCGGAGGAACAGTGCTGGGTCTCGGTGAGGGATATCCTCGGTTGAGCTACTCTTTACTTGTATGCAGCCAAGGTTGATTTTCCCTTGTGCTAATTTCGATCTGTCGCTATATGCACTACATTATTGTACACTGAATAAACTCTTGATTTCTGTGTTTTACCTCCTGCGCCTGACTCCGTCATTCACACCTCATCACATGGTGACACAAAGGGCTGCAGACCTGTCAGTGCCAGTTGGCACCTTAGAATTAGATTGGCTCAACCTGAGAGGAGGTTTCTCCTGTGGTGGTTTAACACTGGCTCAGGATAACTGGAGGAATTCACTGTTGGATCATATCTCCTTCTGCTGAACTTTAATGCCCATCCATACAACTGGATGAAAACACAGCTAGTCACCTCTCCCTCCTTGCCTGATACATTCAGAACTGTTTCAGAACAGTCTATGTTACTGTTGTAATATGTGTGATAAGTAAAAAACATGCTGTATGTTACTCACCCTGATGGCTTGTCGACCCCCAGGAAGGCCTGGATGACCAGAGGGAACTCATACTTCACTATGTACAGGTAACTGGACATGGCTGTGGGAGGGACACACAGAGAGACAGATATTAGTAATAGGATCACACACATACACTGTATACAGACATAAACACACATGCACACACTCACACTTATACACACTCAGTATACACACTCAGTATACACACACAGTATATACACACACAATGTATACACACACACTTAATGCTTGTGCAGGCTGTGCATATTATCCTGGAAATACAAGAGAGATTATCATATTCCAGCAAATCTAAATGTATTTTAAAACACACACTGACACACATGCTAATCCCTTTTATCCCTTTCAGATTGAATACTTTGATGTTGTGCTGATATATCCCCTTGAGAAAACAATAGAAAACATAACAAAAACAGTGAATTCAGTGTGTGTGTGTGTGTGTGTGTGTGTGTGTGTGTGTGTGTGTGTGTGTGTGTGTGTGTGTGTGTGTGTGTGTGCGCGTGTGCGTGCATGTGACAGAGCCCTCACCTCCGATGTTCTGCAGTGTGATGGCGATGCCGGCAGCCATCTTGCCTGGCGTTCCAAACGCCCTTTGGCCAAGCTGTTCATACGCCCGGATACCTGAGGCACAGTCATCAAACACATTAACATACAGAACTGTACTGCGGCGTAGAGCATGCAGAAAAGCCATGCTATTAAAGCATATCAGAATGGAGGGCACTGGAGAGGGGAATGTGAATTCCTAGTGATCAGTCTAATTAGACATATGTGCCCCATTTCAGAAAGCTGGGCGTATGACAGGCCTCACTACTTCACAGGTTTTTTTAAATAAAAATAAAAAATTTATGCAGAAATTCCTTCTTGAACATGTAAACTTTCATGTGCATTAATAACAAATGTATATGTCATCTGTAAATACGAATACAATTGTTAAATTACGAGCCTAGTTGGTTTAGCCACAGAAAAAGACAGGAACCTTCCCGATAGCCATGATTGGCTGAGATAATGGATGGGCTGGACATGCTGAGAGATGAGTTCTGATTGGTCTGCCATGTAGCATGCTTCTGTCTATAACATGAGCTCCTCAGTATGTGTAGATAATCCTTGCTACCACAGCTTTTTTTAAAGATATAATGTTAGCCATGGAGAACTGCAAAAGTGTTGCTACTGCTCTCAACAACATTGCTGCCCTGAATTTAGCAGGTGCAAGATTAGTGGAAAAAAGTTTTAATGTACTACTTTCTGGAGGACGATCGTGCCATGCTGACTCTCTCTGACTCTAAAACTGAATCAGACGATGAGGAAATCCCTGACTTAGGTAAAAACATTTTAATTGAACCAGATATTGTAGAGTCTCTTCTGACGACAGTGATGGGGAAGAAACTGAGATCAACAGTGTTGTTGTCACGGAAGAAGTTGACCGAGTTTTGAAATCAGTGGAATGCCTGGTGGAAGCGGAGTATGAGAACAAGGTGAAGGAAATTTGGATGTTTGATTGCAAATGCGGAGGGAGTCGAAAAGAGAGCACAGAAGGCTGTTGTATAAAACACCTGTCTTCCGGATTACATCTTCAAACCAAGGGCAACCATGGCATCCGTGACAGAGAGTGAGAAAGATATGATGATTCTTATGGCATTGCACACAGTCAGTGTGAACCGGAGTGACTTGACACAACGGCCCAAGCAAGCTGTAGAAACAAAATGCAAATGACAGAGAACTTCTTACTTAGTGAAAGGGGTTCCAGTCTGCCGTGAAGCATTCCATGTATACGGGTAAGAGTCTAGCTACATTTTCACATATTATACATTTCACATTTTGTCAAAGTTGTTTTCATTGCAAGTTAAAGCATAATGTTAGCTAGCTAGTTAACGTTAGCTGGCTGGCTAGCTAGCTAGCTATGTGTATGATCTGTGTAGTAATATTATTAATATCTCAGAAAACCATTTGCATTGCTAGTTATAGACTACTGTTAGCTAGCTAGCTAACATTGAACCTAGTTGGTTAGCTTTAGCTACCTGCAGATTCATACTACATCATTTCATGCATGATGGCTAGCTATGACAATCAATTTGTATTGTTATACTGTATGGGTTGGGATTATGGTTAATTGTTTAGCTAGCTCGCTAGCTACATGTCTAAACAAAAGACTCCACTTCGCCAAATGATTACATGTCCCATCAATTTAGCCAGGTGTGTCTGGGGGTGATATGGCCTATTGTATTTCTTGAACATGTGAAGAGGTCTAGACAATAGAGACCCATCCACTTAGCTAGATGTGGCTGGGAGGGGGTTATAGCCTCTCTTTTACCATAGACAGTAATGTGAAGAACAACATGACCTGCACCAAGGTCAGATTAGAATATAGGCCAAGGACTAGATAAAGTGTATTTTTACCTAGAGTTTTTCCTAATTGTAGGCTACTACTTTCACCACTTTTAGTCTTGAAATCTTTTGTTGTTTACTACACTACCTTACTCACTATGTTTAGCACATGGCCTCACATGTGAATCCTTCAAGAGATTGGTGGGGCTAAGGCTTAAGAGGGTGTGAACGATGCTAAATGGGTGTAAACAAAGAAGAGCTCTCTAGTAGGTGTACCAAACCATTTAAGGACCAACTTTCAAAGCAGCATTACTTTCCCATTGTTCCTCAACTGCAGTGTATGATATAACATTTCGAAGCTCTGAGTCTGTACTTTTATCCACTGTAAAAAAAAAAAAAATCGGGGGGAAATAAGACCGAAAAGAGATGGTGGGTCACATATGCTAAAGAGAAGAGGCAGGCTGTGAGGCTATGGGATGTTATCATGACATTAGTCTTCCTGACAGGGACTGTAGGGGTTGACTGGTGTATGGTCTCCAACAAAAGTCCTGCTCATGGTTTGAAGACTACATACCCACAATGCCAGATGACTTAAGAAGCAAGTGGATGGAGTAAGATGAGAGGACAGCCACTACTGTCAGGAGCACCCTGCAGAGGAGAGAGGAGAGAGCTTCAACATCATCATCCTCATCATCATCATCATCATCAACACCATCATTGTCATAATTACAGGGATTTTTCTGTCATTGAAATCCTTGGGCGGGCCGCCTAAGCATTTTTTCAGGTCGCCTAAATACATTTTCTTGATAGAAAAACGCTTTTTGTGTAAACTTAAACGACTACATTTACATTTACGTCATTTAGCAGACGCTCTTATCCAGAGCGACTTACAAATTGGTGCATTCACCTTATAGCCAGTGGGATAACAACTTTACAATGTTTTTTTTTTTTTTTTTTTTGGGGGGGGGGGGGTGGGTTGGGGTAAGGGGGGGGTAGAATGATTACTTTATCCTATCCCAGGTATTCCTAAAACAAGATATAAAGTATGTAGAAAAGATAATGGGCCTATATATTTTTTATAATATAATCTGTGAGAACTAACAATCAGCTAAATAAAAGCTAGACAGTCAGGGTGAATTGAAAATTCCAACAACAATTAATTTAGCAGTATATATTTTTGTTAATATGTTTTAGCAAAATAACACAAGATTAGCCATGGCAAAATGCATATAATTGTAGGAAATTTGCTTTAAAACTGCAAAATGTTCTCTTAGCTCCATGGCAGAATATGTAGAATCGCAGGAAATGTGCTTTAAAACTTCACTAATTTCTAACAGCTCCATGGAGAAATTTGAGAAAATTTTCTCTAAAATTCAGCCATGCCGACGGGGTGAACACGTCCCCTGCCACGCCCACCACCTAAGCTCCTTTCTTATCCAGAAAAAACCTTGTTATCATCATCATTATCATCTTCACCATCATCCTCCTCATCAACACCATCATCATCATTCTCCTCCTCATCATTCTCCTCATTATCATCAATCTCCTCATTATCATCAATCTCCTCATCAACACCATCATCACCACCACCACCACCATCCTCCTCCTCCTCATCACCATCCTCAACACCATCGTTGTCATAATGATCATCATCTTCATCACCATATTCATCATCAAAATCATTATTGTAATAATCATCATCATTATTATCATCATCATCAACCTCATCCTTATTGAACTTGATGACCCAGCACATTCTGGTGCAGTATGACAGTAACAGCTGTCCTAATCCATGGCTCTATAGATAACATTCCTCCATGTAAACCATTTATTCAGCTGGATGTACAGCTGGGTGTTGGGTTATGGGGTCTTGAGTCTTTGGTTATGGGGTCTTGGGTTAGCCTCATACAGAGCCTCAGCCTTACAGAGCATCAGTCTTGCTGGCTGTATTATCTACGAATATCTCCCCCATTCCCCCACGATGAGAAACAACCACAAGGACATTAGGGGCGCTATTTAAAGGTGGAAATATTTACAAAGCAACGCTGACATTGAGCTGAGGAAAAACCACAGAGTTAACGGAGAGGAAAAATACAAGACTCTCTGGTCCAAGATCTCCCAAAATACTGCTCCAGCCCCCAACGGCCAACATCTGGCCGAATAGACCAATCTGGATGGACGGAACACAGAAACCTGATCTTTCTGCTCACTTCCCAGAGCAACTCCTGCTCCTCCTCTCTCTAACTGTAACTTTTTTTCTTTCACATTTCTTTCAAATTGTTACTCTTGGCAACTGGACCTGGGCTTGCGTCAGAGAGGCAAAGCACGTCTTTCACCTCGAATTCAACTATATGCCGTTTCACATTGTTCTGTGTCTCGGGCGGCTTGGTGGAAGAATGCAGCAGGGCTGATTTGTGGTGGAGGAGATGTCAGCCGGTACAGTGGTGGGAACAGTGGGACAGTTAGACAGACAGGCAGACTGGCAGACAGAGACAGAGAGACAGACAGAGAGACAGACAGACACTCTCCCCCACTGCATTCCCGCAAGGGCCAGTGCCAGTGCCAGGGCCCGGTTGAGACCTCTGTGTGTGACAACTTAAGTCTCCACTATAATCTGAAATGTTAGACCACTACAACGGGGCAAAAAAGCTACATGGGTGTAGCTCTGTCACGTAATATGTCTGACTGTCAGTGGTGAGGTAGCTCTGCAATGCAACCTTATTAATATTATAGCTCTCATAATGAGGTGAGATGTCATGTCTCCTAACCTTACCCCTGTGTGTACATGTAAAACATTCAGTTAATGTGCATACACTACATGGGCAACAGGTTTAATAGGGTTTGAAATGTGAATGGGATGTGAATGGGTTGCAAATAAGGGCCAGTGCACAGCCACCTCCCTCCATACAGCCTCTGAACATCCTCTTTGTTCAGCTAAAGCCCACATGACACAACAGTCAGGCCCAGAGGTGTTATACACAGTCAGTAGCCCTCTGCCTGCCTCCGCTCCGGCCCCTTTCCTTCCAGGAAACACAGAAATCTCCTTACAGCAATCCCACCAGTCAGTTGCTGGGACCCAGTGGAGGCTATAGGCTACAGGTCCCATGGCCCCCCTGGCCCTACACTCATACACAGGCATGAATGGTGTCAGATGTGAGTCTGACACACCATGCCTTAGAGCAGACTGCAGTGCCATACCAATAGTGGATGACTGGAACGCTTGTCAGTGCTGTAATGCTCCAATGGACAGAGTAGGTGTTACAGTAGGTGAGGTCAAAGGAAAGGGTAGGATAAAGCACTGGAGGGATTGGATGCTAGTCTGGGTACCAGTCTGTTTAGCTATCATTCCACTCCGTGCCACTCCTGTCATGCTAAGCATCTTTGGCATATGACATGGAATAAAAGGAGTGGAATGTTAGCTAAACAGACTAGGCCCCGTGTAGCTCAGTTGGTAGAGCATGGTGTTTACAACGCCAGCGTTGTGGGTTTGATTCCCACGGGGGCCAGTATGAAAAATGTATGCACTCACTAACTGTAAGTCGCTCTGGATAAGAGCATCTGCTAAATGACTAAAATGTAAAAAATGGTACCCGGGCTAATGGGATGCCACTGTATTGATGTGATGTTAGTTTGGTGTGTTGTTGAGTTTCCCTTTGGTTTTCTGTGTTCAGAGAAGCACGTGCTGCTGCTATGTAGGTCTGCTGTCCCCCTTGGGAATGAGCAGCTAAGATTCAGACTGACAAGGTACGCTGGCAGAAAAAAGAGGAGAGGAGAGGGAGTTGCACCCTGGAGGCTGGAGCACAGCACACAGTGGTCCACTGAAAAGTTGCTTGACTCGCTGTCCCCCTCCCGAGTACCTCTACATCAGGATTGGGCAACTTTGATGAGGGTGGAGGCCACAAAAAATATGAAGTCATCATGAGGGGCAGCAGTTGCTCCCGGGTCTGCGACCATAATTACAACATTTTGATAGCTGGCTGCTAGAAATCTCTGAAGCTGGAGACACTTATCTCCCTCACTAACTTTAAGCATCAGTTGTCAGAGCAGCTTACCGATCACTACACCTATACACAGCCCATCTGTAATTAGCCCACCCAACTACCTCATCCCCATATTGTTATCTATTTTGCTCATTTCACCCCAGTATCTCTATTTGTACATCATCTTCTGCACATCTATCACTCCAGTGTTAATACTAAATTGTAATTATTTTGCACTATGGCCTATTTATTGCCTTACCTCCATAACTTACTACATTTGCACACACTGTATATAGATTTTCTATTGTGTTATTGACTGTACGTTTTGTTTATTCCATATGTAACTCTGTGTTGTTGTTGTTTTTACCGCACTGCTTTGCTTTATCTTGGCCAGGTCGCAGTTGTAAATGAGAACTTGTTCTCAACTGGCTTACCTGGTTAAATAAAGGTTAAATAAAATAAAATAAATAAAGACTAACTTACCAACCTAAAATATGTTAGCTGACATGGGCTAATTGCGTGACTATCAGTTACTGACATAACAAGACAAAAACTGCTGATGCGCAACTAAATTTCAAAATTGCACCTTGTGTATTCTACTACTCTAGCTTGCAACAGTATGTTGAGACCCCGACTGAGTTTCCTGTGCAATCTCAAACTAAACAAGCTTCACTCACTGTTCATGTGAAATGTACAGACGTAGGGTCTTAAAATGTATCCGAGGGCCTTCAAAAGGAGGGCTGCCGGCTGTCCATCCCTGCTCTACATGTTTCTCTCCTTCTCTTTCTCAAATCTATAATGATTTGAGGCACGTGGATCTAAGTCATTTGTAGTAGATACATAAATACATACTGTAAATGCATACTGATATTTGCTACACTGTGTGTCACTGTAGGATATTAATTTGATCACTCCTGCAAAGCAGGAAATGCAAACTTGTAGTGTATTTGAGTTTTAAAAAGGCTTTTAAAGTTTGTAATTTCCACTTTGACATTTCAGACTTGAATTGCCCTAATGAAAAAAATGTATCAACCCCTACAAAAATGCCCATTAATTATAATCCACATTATAATTCACATTTCCTGTTGCAGAAAGACTATTTTCCTGCTGTAGCAAACTGGCTCAAATGAAGATCCTACATCTGTACATTTCACATGAACAGTGAGTGAAGCATGTTTAGTTTTAGGTTGCACAGGAGCAGTTAAGGTTGTATATACTGTAAGCCAGGTGTCACAGACAGACAAACAGACAGTGTAGTAACCCAGGGTTCAGCCGGTCCAGATCAGTCCAGACCAGACAGAAGACAGGTTGAGAAACCACAGTCACACCACCCAGCTCAAAATAAAGAGCTGTTTACACTGTGGAAAAAACTCCTCTAGACATGACTCTAGGCAGAAAGCTTGGAAACAGTCTTTCAATAATATTTGTGTCGGTCATGGTTGTCTTAAATATGATCAATGCTTCATTTTAGTCACATTTGGTGAGAAATGTGGGCATGCTGCCAATAAGACAAACACATACTACCTCTAGTTTGAAAATAAAATATTGTGTCACCTACCTACAATTCCACTGACTCTAAAACCTGTGCTACTGCTAGTACACAGTCAATGGATTTGGCATTACTACACACATCCAAAACATTGCTTTACCTCTAACAGTGGTGGAAAAAGTAGCCAATTGTCATACTTGAGTAAAAGTAAAGATACACTAGATTTTTGTAATCTAATCTTATCCAGAGCGACTTAAAGCAGGGAGTGCATACATTTCACACTTGTCCCCCATGGGAATCGAAACCACAACCCTGGCATTGCAAGTGCCATGCTCTACCAACTGAGCCACACAGGATTCTACATGACCAACAGTATGTGGACACCTGCTCGTCAAACATCTCATTCCAAAATCATGGGCATTAATATGGAGTTGGTCCCCCCTTTGCTGCTATAACAGCCTCCACTCTTCTGGGAAGGCTTTCCACTAGATGTTGGAACATTGCTGCGGGAACTTGCTTCCATTCAGCCACAACAGCATTAGTGAGGTCAGGCACTGATGTTGGGCGATTAGGCCTGGCTCGCAGTCGGCCTTCCAATTAATCCCAAAGGCGTTCAATGGGGTTGAGGTCAGGGCTCTGTGCAGACCAGTCAAGTTCTTCCACACCGATCTTGACAACCCATTTCTGTATGGACCTCGCTTTGTGTACGGGGGCATTGTCATGCTGAAACAGGAAAGGGCCTTCCCCAAACTGTTGCCAAAAAGTTGGAAGCACAGAATCATCTAGAATGTCATTGTATGCTGTAGCGTTAAGATTTTCCTTCACTGGAACTAAGGGGCCTAGCACGAACCATGAAAAACAGCCCCAGACCATTATTCCTCCTCCACCAAACTTTACAGTTGGCACTATGCATTCGGGCAGGTAGCGTTCTCCTGGTTAGTCTGTCGGACTGCCAGATGGTGAAGCATGATTCATCACTCCAGAGAACGCGTTTCCACTGCTCCAGAGTCCAATGGCAGCGAACTTTACACCACTCCAGCCAATGCTTGCATTGCGCATGGTGATCTTAGGCTTGTGTGCAGCTGCTCGGCCATGGAAACCCATTTCATGAAGCTCCCGAAGAACAGTTATTGTGCTGACGTTGCTTCCAAAGGCAGTTTGGACCTTGGTAGTGAGTGTTGCAACCAAGGACAGACGATTTTTACTCGCTACGCGCTTCAGCACTCGGCGGTCCCAATCTATGAGCTTGTGTGGCCTATCACTTCGCGGCTGAGCAGTTGTTGCTCCTAGACGTTTCCACTTCACAATAACAGCACTTACAGTTGACCGGGGCAGCTCTTGCAGGGCAGAAATTTGATGAACTGACTTGTTGGAAGGTGGCATCCTATGACAGTGCCATGTTGAAAGTCACGGAGCTCTTCAGTAAGGCCATTCTACTGACAATGTTTGTCTATGGAGAGTGCATGGCTGTATGCTCGATGTTATACACCTGTCAGTAACGTGTGTGGCTGAAATAGCCAAATCCACAAATTTGAAGGGGTGTCCACATACTTTTGTATAAATAATGTACCTTAATAGAAAATGACTCAAGTATGTATGAGTGAAAGTCACCCAGTAAAATACTTGAGTAAAAGTCTAAACGTATTTTGTTTTAAATATACTTAAGTATCAAAACTAAATGTAATTGCACAAATATACAGTACTTAAGTTTTACAAGTAAGTGTATAAATCATTTCAAATTGCTTATATGAAGCAAACTAGATGGCACAATTTTTATTTTATTTTTATTAACGGATAGCCAGGGGCACACTTCAACACTCAGACATAATTTACAAACAAAGCATTTGTGTTTAGTGAGTCCGCCAGATCAGAGGCAATAGAGATGACCAGGGATGTTCTCTTGATAAATGTGTAAAGTGGACCATTTTCCTGTCCTGCTAAGCATTTAAAGTGTAACAAGTACGTTTGGTTGTCAGGGAAAATGTATGGAGTAAAAAGTACATTATTGTCTTTAAGAATGTAGTGAAGTAAAAGTGAAAGTATTCAAAAATATGAACAGAAAAGTAAAGTACAGATACCAAAACAAACGACTTAAGTAGTACTTTAAAGTATTTTTACTTAAGTACTTTACACCACTGACCTCTAGGTAGAGAGCTATTGTATTGTAATCCTATCCAAGGTCGCATGGTAAACAAATCCCTGGGGCTAGGAGAGTTTTCTAATAAAAGCAGCATGATGAAGGCTTACAGCACACAGCACACTGTCACGATCGTTAGACGGAGTAGACCAAGGCGCAGCGTTGAAAGCAAACATACTTTATTTATCGAATGATAACACGAACAGCGAAACAAAACAACAAACGATACGTGACATCCAAAGGACAAACCTAACTAGGAACACACCGAAAGGAACAAGATCCCACAACTCCTGTGGGAAAACAGCCTCTCTAAATATGGCTCCCAATCAGAGACAACCAGCAACAGCTGACACTCGTTGCCTCTGATTGGGAACCACTCTGGCCAACACAGAAATACACTACATAGAATATACACACCCTGGCTCAACATATAGAGTCCCCAGAGCCAGGGTGTGACAGTACCCCCCCCTAAAGGCGCGGACCTTGACCGCGCCTAAACATCAACAACCCAGGGGAGGGCTGGGTGGGCATTCCTCCTCGGAGGCGGTTCCGGCTCCGGGCTAGACCACCACCCTTCAACCATCCCCCCGTGGCGCCCCTGGTCTGGTCTGGCCCCGCTGACCGGAGCTGGACTGGACATCGTAGAAGCGGATTGCTTCAGCTCCGGTGTGGAGCAGCTGACCGGTACCTGACCAGGCACCGGTGACCCAGGCACGGGTTGTGCCGGACTGACGACGCACACCCCTGGCCTGGTGCGTGGAGCAGGGACGGACCGGACCGGGCTGACGATGCGCACCCCTGGCTTGGTGCGTGGAGCAGCTACGGGCCGGACCGGGCTGACGATGCGCACCCCTGGCTTGGTGCGTGGAGCCGGAACGGGCCGTACCGGGCTGACGATGCGCACCCCTGGCTTGGTGCGTGGAACAGGAACGGGCCGGACCGGGCTGACGATGCGCACCCCTGGCTTGGTGCGTGGAGCAGCAACGGGCCGTACCGGACTGACGATACGCACCCCTGGCTTGGTGCGTGGAGCAGGAACAGGCCGGGCCGGGCTGGCGACGCGCACCGTAGGCTTGGTGCGTGGAGCAGGAACAGGCCGGGCCGGGCTGGCGACGCACACCGTAGGCTTGGTGCGAGGAACAGGAACGGGCCGGACCGGACTGGCAATACACCTCAGTACCTCTCGCCGTGCCTCTACAACTTCCTTCCCTCCTCTCACCAATGGCTCCCGTAACCCGGTGGCCTTCTCTCCTCGTCTCCCATTTCGCCCTGTGGCAGCCTCCTGCTGCCCAGTCGCCCATGCCGTGTGCCCCCCCCTAAAAATTTTCTGGGGTTGCCTCTCGTCCGTCCGACGACGACACTGTTGACGCCGTTGCTCCTCTCTCGACAGGGCCTTATTCTTAGCCCATGGCCCCTTGCCCCCGAGCATGTCCTCCCAGGACCACGATTTGCCCACCTGGGCCGTCGCCAACCTTTCCAGCTCCTTTCCCGGCGCTTCCTCCCATGTCCAGGCCGCCTGCTCCTGGACACGCTGCTTGGTCCTGGTATGGTGGGATCTTCTGTCATGATCGTTAGAGTGAGTGGACCAAGGCGCAGCGTTGAAAGCAAACATACTTTATTTATCGAATGATAACACAAACAGCGAAACAAAACAACAAACGATACGTGACATCCAAAGGACAAACCTAACTAGGAACACACCGAAAGGAACGAGATCCCACAACTCCTGTGGGAAAACAGCCTCTATAAATATGGCTCCCAATCAGAGACAACCAGCAACAGCTGACACTCGTTGCCTCTGATTGGGAACCACTCTGGCCAACACAGAAATACACTACATAGAATATACACACCCTGGCTCAACATATAGAGTCCCCAGAGCCAGGGTGTGACACACACACAGAGTTTTATGGAACAAGACTTAACAATCCAGATCCCATGACCACTAACACCTTGTATCCTAGCAGCTGGGTTTAGGAGGTGTGATTCTAATAGGAGGAAGACAAGGGAGTGTGGATGTTATGGTATCTTTCAATGATTGATGGGTGAGATTAACAACAGGAAACCTGAGCTGGATGTGTCCTTTGAAAAGCCCATGGACTCAAAACCTCATAATGCATATTATATTCAACAGAAACAGATTAGACTGTCAGTGGGGGTCAGACAGACAGACAGACAGACAGCGGAACAGGTGTGTCACTAAGTCTTCTTATTCTACTAAACACTTTATTGACACCTGTGCCCTCTCAAATCCAAGACCTGGCCTCTCATTTTGTGCAGGACTGTGGACAAATTGCATGTGTTTCAGTGCTCCTGTGTCATCCCTGATATAATCCCACATCTATCAATCAGGCTGGGTAGCTCTCACACAAGGCAGCGCTGAACTTTCCCTGCCGCTCCATCCGACCTTCTATTCCTGAGATTTGAGGTGAGACTGTCATCTAACAGTGGGGTCATATTGTACAATGACATGCAAGAAGATCACCACAGCCTAATCTGGGCCGGGGTAGGTGCTAAACCCACAAACACATTACATAACCCCTCTATGACTAATCTGGCAGCTGTTAAACTAAACTCTCTGTGACTTGTCCTGACAGCAGATGCCACCACAGCCCAGATTATTCTCCCTAGCTGGCATGGCAGACCCCTGAGAACGCATTCATGTACATTCAGTATTCACACATTCAATCACAGCACAAGATAGGACATGAAGATGCAAGCACATTGAGGTTATTTCCAGCATCCATCATTATAATTGCATTGGTTTAACACAGCAGCACAACGCTGCTATTAGCATAGTAATGAGACCTCGCCATTATGTTTCATTATTACACACAGGGCTTGAAACCCCTATTGATCTCAATGCAGATGTGTATCATGAAACACAGGGTGTTACACACCACCAGTGTGTCACTGCTGTAGTTATGATAGCTATCACAGTAATGATGCCGTATTTACACGTCAGCCTTTTATTTAGAGACTGTTCAATTAGGGCTGTCACATACAAAGTCTACCGCCTGGTTAATAGCCTTTAAATAATTACAGGGGTATTTCTGTCCAAGGAGGAGCTCCATTCAGAAGGGCTAAACGGAATGCAATTGAATCAGAGGAACATTTGTGGCTAATGCACACATTCCTGACTGGGTTTACATCCATGTACATACATCTACAGTACCAATTGATCTTATCATTAATCATATAGAACTGTTGGTCATCTATGTTCATCACAATCATGAACTCATCCATCCATTCATTCATCCATCCATCCATCCATCCATTCATCCATTAATTAATGAATTCATCCAGCCATCCATCCATGTTGACTCACAGGAATAGAACGACACCTGTGTTGGCCATGGCATACGACAATCCCAGAATTCCACTTCCCATGATGGCGTTGCCCAAGTTGAACACTGACATTCCAAAAGAGGTTTTCCCCTCAAACTGATTCCATGGAGAAACACATAGAGGTGAACATGCTTGTTAGCACAATGGTTACAACAATCAAAGTTGCTTTACAGAAGGAGAGAATGAACACGTTACAGATTCATCTGAACCATCCACTGTGGCCAAAGCAGCCTATAAATTCCACTTACATCTGTGAAGCGTGTGGTCTTCTTGTCCTCCATGTTAGACAGGAACTCCTGACTCTCTGCGAGGTTGGCCTCTGGATCCTCACTTCTGTGGGGATTCATGTGAACAAAGCACAGTCATAACAACATGAAGCAAGAACAATGTTATAAAACCACAACTCAAGGACACTCTATCTGAGAGAATCGTGGAATCACATAGGATAACATTCTACTGCTATAGGTGTCTGGTTGATACTGTTCTGTCCTTATCACAACTTGTGATTGTAATGGTGAGAAACAGTACACTGAAACATATCCCTTCCGTGTAAATTTTACATACCTGACATTTTGGGCACTATTGGGAACAATTTCCCTACAAAGTAGCGTAGAGAAAGACGTTCCATCATCCAATGAAAGCACAAAGAGGAAAAACAAAAAACACCCCCTCAGTAATCCGGCCATGTTGGAGAAAATGACAGTCTGGGTAAACTGATGTATTCAACTACTTAAGGGGGCATGGGGAGACACTGTACATGTTAAACAGTTGATGTAATTTCCTGTGACTGATGGCCATGTCTGTTCCGTCCTGATAGAGGTGACCTCATGATTAGTAGGGCAAAGGAACGCAGGCCCTGACACTAGGTAGTACTAGGTACCCATTACCCACATTTCCACACACATACAATGAGGGAAAAAAGTATTTGATCCCCTGCTGATTTTGTACGTTTGCCCACTGACAAATACATGATCAGTCTATAATTTTAATGGTAGGTTTATTTGAACAGTGAGAGACAGAATAATAACAACAAAAATCCAGAAAAACGCATGTCAAAAATGTTATAAATTGATTTGCATTTTAATGAGGGAAATAAGTATTTGACCCCTCTGCAAAACATGACTTAGTACTTGGTGGCAATCACAGAGGTCAGACGTTTCTTGTAGTTGGCCACCAGGTTTGTACACATCTCAGGAGGGATTTTGTCCCACTCCTAATTTGCAGATCTTCTCCAAGTCATTAAGGTTTCGAGCCTGACGTTTGGCAACTCAAACCTTCAGCTCCCTCCACAGATTTTCTATGGGATTAAGGTCTGGAGACTGGCTAGGCCACTCTAGGACCTTAATGTGCTTCTTCTTGAGCCACTCCTTTGTTGCCTTGGCCGTGTGTTTTGGGTCATTGTCATGCTGGAATACCCATCCACAACCCATTTTCAATGCCCTGGCTGAGGGAAGGAGGTTCTCACCCAAGATTTGACAGTACATGGCGCCGTCCATCGTCCCTTTGATGCAGTGAAGTTGTCCTGTCCCCTTAGCAGAAAAACACCCCCAAAGCATAATGTTTCCACCTCCATGTTTGACGGTGGGGATGGTGTTCTTGGGGTCATAGGCAGCATTCCTCCTCCTCCAAACACGGCGAGTTGAGTTGATGCCAAAGAGCTCGATTTTGGTCTCATCTGACCACAACACTTTCACCCAGTTCTCCTCTGAATCATTCAGATATTCATTGGCAAACTTCAGACAGGCCTGTATATGTGCTTTCTTAAGCAGGGCGACCTTGCGGGCGCTGCAGGATTTCAGTCCTTCACGGCATAGTGTGTTACCAATTGTTTTCTTGGTGAATATGGTCCTAGCTGCCTTGAGATCATTGACAAGATCCTCCCGTGTAGTTCTGGGCTGATTCCTCACCGTTCTCATGATCATTGCAACTCCACGAGGTGAGATCTTGCATGGAGCCCGAGGCCGAGGGAGATTGACAGTTCTTTTGTGTTTCTTCCATTTGCGAATAATCGCACCAACTGTTGTCACCTTCTCACCAAGCTGCTTGGCGATGGTCTTGTAGCCCATTCCAGCCTTGTGTAGGTCTACAATCTTGTCCCTGACATCCTTGGAGAGCTCTTTGGTCTTGGCCATGGTGGAGAGTTTGGAATCTGATTGATTGATTGCTTCTGTGGACAGGTGTCTTTTATACAGGTAACAAACTGAGATTAGGAGCACTCCCTAATCTCAGCTCGTTACCTGTATAAAAGACACCTGGGAGCCAGAAATCTTTCTCATTGAGAGGGGGTCAAATACTTATTTCCCTCATTAAACTGCAAATCAATTTATAAAATTTTTGACATGCGTTTTTCTGGATTTTTGTTGTTGTTATTCTGTCTCTCACTGTTCAAATAAACCTACCATTAAAATTATAGACTGATCATTTCTTTGTCAGTGGGCAAACGTACAAAATCAGCAGGGGATCAAATACTTTTTTCCCTCACTGTATCCACAGTAGTTAACAAAGAGCAGTGTTGTTGTTGTGGGGTGTGTGAAGGGAGACGTGACACTCTCAGAGAGTAGTAGGTCACAGCCGTAGCCCGCCCGCAGGACGAGGCAGCCAGTAGCAGAGCTCACCTCACCTCTCTGACACGATAAGGCTCAGTGAGGGAGTACACTAATAGTTTAATTCTCAACCAACGTAATATGTTGCCTAATACCTAGTACCTGAGTGTATACTTTTTTAGATGAAAAGGTTCCTCTTGTCTGCTATTGTGTATCTAATCTTGTCCACCAGCTGTCTCTCTCTCTGTTGAACACTAAATGCGAAAGCAATTGAGCCTGGGGATGAGGTTATCTTCTATCTTAAAGAGTGTATACTGTACTTTTAGAGATGAAAAGCCTGTGTATACTTTCGTATGTTTATAGTCTACTATCTTGTACTTGAGTCTACACTTACTGCTCTGTGGTGTCGCCTGGTGGTGTTTTGGCTGCTGCTGTGGTTTCCTCCACAGTCTCATGGCCTTTCCCATTGGGAATAGAGTTCATCCCTGCTGGCGCTGGAGCTGATACTGGCGCTGGAGGAGCAGGTTCCACGCTTTCAGCTGCTTTATCTTCACTCATCTTTGCTACAATGTATGTGTGTGTGTGTGTGTGTGTGTGTGTGTGTGTGTGTGTGTGTGTGTGTGTGGCTGACGTCCTCTTTTCTTTTCCTCTTTTCCTTCAGGAGTCTGTGAAAGAATAGACACGTGGCAGTTAGACTACAACTGATGATTACATCATGTTCATAACCACTGGAATATTACAGACAGTTAATTCAATGCAGATAAGCTTGCTTATCTTGCACATTTTGCACAGCCATCTATCTCCAGAATGGGGATACAAATTGTACAACTTGAGTACAAATCTTTTACAATAATACATTCAGCGATGCTTAACAACTAGGTTTTCCCCTAAATACTGCATACAATCAAGCAGGTGGACGTTTATTGGGATGAGTCTTGTCCTAGAGGCAGAACTGAGAGATTTCCGATAGATATGCCAGCAGCAAAGTCAAAATTGGCTATATTGTAAAAATTCATGAAACTAAAATGTGCTTTTTGGTCTTAATTTAAGGTTTGGGTTAGGCATTTGGGTTAGCAGTGTGGTTAAGGTTAGGGTTAAGGTTAGGTTTAAAACCTGATTGTATTACTTTGCAGTTGTGCCAGCTAGTGACCACTCTGCAGAGCTGCCTCCAAAACAAGATTCATGACGAAAAACACTAACCTGCTACAATCAAGGTGCCAATGTGGTAGTGTTAACAATGACTTGGCCTAAGAGGCATGTTGAAAGATAAATTAGGCCTGTTCTTGGCAGTTATAATGAGTCTGTCTGTGTCTTCCTGGTAGGCCCCAGGGGAATGAGTCTGAGCCCCAGGGGAACGTGCAGACCAGCTGGCTGGATGTTTACAGACATATTCAATCTCTCCATATCCCAGTCTGTTGTCCCCGCTTGCTTCAAGATGTCCATCATTGTTCCTGTACCCAAGAAAGCAAATGACTATCGCCCCATAGCACTCACTTCTGTCATCATTATGTGCTTTAAGAGGTTAGTTAAGGACCATATAACCTCCACCCTAGACCAGGGATGGGCAACTGGCGGCCCGGCCTGCGTCCCTTATCTAGGCCTGCGGATACATTTCCAAAGACAAAACAAAACTCAATCGGGGTGCAACTTCGATATTTGGTTGTGCATCAGCAGTTTTTCTCTTGTTATGTCAGTCACTGTTATGTCAGTCATTGACATGTCAGCAAAACATTTTTAGATTGGTATGTTAGATTGGTATGTTAGTTGGTATGTTAGTCTAGCAACCAGCTATCTAATAATATCTAGTAATCATGGTTGAATTACCGACCGTGGGACCCCCATTGATTTTGTTGGTCACTCTCACTGAGATATCATATTAAAAACAGCAAACATTTCTCTCTACCCTATGGCAAAATGTGTAGATTTTCAGCAAACTTGCTTTAAAACTTCAACATTTTCTCCACACCCCATGGCAAAAATGTGTAAAATTGCAGGAAATTAATTATAAAGCTGACGTGTTGCTCGCAAGGTGGGGGAAACAACATTTCACTTAGGGCCCCCAATAGGCTAGGGCCGGCTCTGACTACATGTGTGGGTATGGATGTGGGTATGCAGACCCGCGAGCCACTGATGAGTTTCGATTGTTTTGTGGTCCCCACCCCATCAAAGTTGTCCATCCCTGCCATTGACCAACTACAATTTGTATACCACCCCAACAGATCCACGGATGATGCAATCGCCATCGCACTACACACTGCCATATCCCACCTATGTAAAAATGCTGTGTATCGACTACAGCTCAGCCTTCAACATCAGAGTGCCCTGCAAGCTCATCACTAAGCTCAGGGCCCTGGGTCTGAACCCCTCCCTGTGCAACTGGGTCCTGGACTTCCTGACGGGCCGACCCCAAGTGGTGAAGTTAGGCAACAACCCCTCCGCCACGCCGATCGTCAACATGGGGGCCATTGAAACTTCAACATTTTCTCCACACCCCATGGCAAAAATGTGTAAAAAAATTTTTTTAACACTGCTAATTTTTATAATGTTTACATACTGTTTTACCCACTTTATATGTATATACTATATATACAAAGCTATGTGGATACCCCTTAAAATGAGGGGATTCTGCAATTTCAGCCACACCCGTTGCTGACAAGTGTATAAAATCGAGCACAGAGCCATGCAATCTCCCTAGACAAATATTGGCAGAATGGCCTTATTGAAGAGCTCAGTGACTTTCAACGTGGCACCGTCATAGGATGCCAACTTTCCAACAAGTCAGTTTGTAAAATTTCTGCCCTGCTAGAGCTGCCCCGGTCAACTGTAAGTGCTGTTATTGTGAAGTGGAAATGTCTAGGAGCAACAACTGCTCAGCCGCGAAGTGGTAGGCCACACAAGCTCACAGAACGGGACTGCCGAGTGCTGAAGCGCATAGCGCGTAAAAACTGTCTGTCCTTGGTTGCAACACAAATTACCGAGTTCCAAACTGCCTCTGGAAGCAACATCAGCACAAGAACTGTTCGTCGGGAGCTTCATGAAATGGGTTTCCATGGCCGAGCAGCCGCACACAAGCCTAAGATCACCATGCGCAATGCCAAGCGTCGGCTGGAGTGGTGTAAATCTCACCGCCATTTGACTCTGGAGCAGTGGAAATGCGTTATCTGAAATGATGAATCACGCTTCACCATCTGGCAGTCCGACGGACAAATCTGGGTTTGGCGGATGCCAGGAGAACGCTACCTGCCCGAATGCATAGTGCCAACTGTAAAGTTTGGTGGAGGAGGAATAATGGTTTTCATGGTTCGGGCTAGCCCCCTTAGTTCCAGTGAAGGGAAATGTTAACGCTACAGCATACAATGACTTTCTAGACGATTCTGTGCTTCCAACTTTGTGGCAACAGTTTGGGGAAGGCCCTTTCCTGTTTCAGCATGACAATGCCCCCGTGCACAAAGCGAGGTCCATACAGAAATGGTTTGTTGAGATCGGTGTGGAAGACGTTGACTGGCCTGCAAAGAGCCCTGACCTCAACCCCATCGAATACCTTTGGGATGAATTGGAATGCAGACTGAGAGCCAGGCCTAATCGCCCAACATCAGTGCCCTACCTCAATAATGCTCTTGTGGCTGAATGGAAGCAAGTCCCCGCAGCAATGTTCCAACATCTAGTGGAAAGCCTTCCCAGAAGAGTGGAGGCTGTTATAGCAGCAAAGGGGGGACCAACTCCATATTAATGCCCATGATTTTGGAATGAGATGTTCGACGAGCAGGTGTCCACATACCTTTGGTCATGTAGTGTATTTATAGTCTGGACTCTGATATTGCTCGTTCTGATATTTTGAATTATGTGGGTATTGTTTTGTATTGCTAGGTATTACTGCACTGTAGGAGCTAGAAACAAGCATTTCGCTGCACCTGCGATAACAGCTGCAAATCTGTGTAAACGGCCAATAAACGTTGATTTTATTTGACTTATAAAGCACTTTCTAAGAACGCTGGAGGAGCTGACAACACAAACACTTTTTATTATCAGTTTGTCACACGTAAGATAAAAGCACCAGCCACCATCATTGAAGTCAGAAAGCTAAGTTGATAAACAACCTTTTTTCCGGGGAGAATCTCTGGCATTATTTATTTGTCAGCTGAGAGGTATTTTACTCTCTGCTTACGAGAAGGAAAGGCCCCAGTTAGCTGTGACACTCTAGGCTTTGTGAGGGATGATTCGGGCCCCTTTGCTCGGGGCCCCTGTTTCCTAGGTCCCCTACAGTGGTGTATAAGCAGAGCTGCTGGTGTACAGGCCCTGAAAGGCCCCTGAAAGGCTCCTGTGACATGCGTCTCTCTGTTCCTGTCAACCTCGGCTCCCTGGCTGTCCCTGAAAGCTCGCACAGCTAATTTCTCCATTAGCTATGCAGCGTAAACAGGGGTAAAGGGCGGATGGAGTAGGGGGGTATAGAGGGTTGGAGGGGTAGGGGGGGTTAGAGAAGGTGGCACACACACAGTGGGACCCACAGAAGGAGGAGATGAAAGGCAGCAGAACCAGCTACGACCAGCTTAGAACCAGTTCTGGGCCTCCATTTTTTTGTTATGATCTTAGCGTAGCGGCAGTGCTCTCGCTCTCTCAGTGCTCCAGCCCTCTTCACTGGCCCTGGTCCCCTCAGCTCACCCCTGTTCCCACCAGCCCCACTTCCCCTCCCCTGCCCGCCTTTCAAATGTAGCTTTTCTGTCAAATGATTTTAGCACATCAAACACTGAGGGAGGTGTATAAACCCTGAGTCTCCATCGAGCAGCAGCCCCTCATGGCCTGTGTTACTGTGTCACCGGCCTCCACCAACCACGTTGTAATGTGAGCCTAACTGCGCAGCCAGACTTCTCTGTCTCTCAGGCTAATGCGGGGCAACGTGGTCGGCCAGCAAAACATGGCACACAATGGCGCATGTTGTGTGGTTTCCTGGGAACGGGCCGGAGAACAGTGGTGCTATTGTGCCAGGCATCATTATACCACTGGGGCCCCCTTGGCTGCAGCTCGCTGGGCCACTCGATGGGCTGAAAAGGTAATTCATTGCACCCTAATTGAAAAGACGCCACCTTGAATTCAGCAGCTAACAGGGACCCGCGTTCACGCACATGTGTGGCAGGGGACGGGAAGGAGACAGGCAGGGGCTGGTGCCACACACACTAGGACCCCATCACCAGTGAGGTGTCTCTCTGTCACTCAAACAGCCCACCATTCATAGACAGGCTGGGCAGAGCGCTCAGAAGAGGACCTGAAGCTAAACGGATATGTGATTGGCTGGCTGGACCACAGGGGGATCTCTGGGATGACCTCACAGGGTGGAGCTTCTCCACGGCACAGCTGATTGGGCAGAATCACATCTCCGATAAACATTGTATAAATGAACTTCCTTCAGCTAACTGGGTGTGAAAACACAAACACAGTGTGTTTTCATTCAGAAAGAATGCCTGGCATATAGCTACCCACAGACACAGGGAATATGGTATGAATACAGTATATTTGA